TAGACATGCATTCAGCTATAGCTGCACGAAAAAGAATAAAAGATAAAATTATAACGTACCCTATGAAATATGAAGAATTTTTAAGAAATAAAAGAACTAGATATAAAAAAAGAAGGGCTGAAAGAAAAGAGAACTTATTGAAAAATACAGAAGCTTTAAACGCTTATCGTGAAGAAAAAACAATTTTCCAGAATTGTCAAATGAAATAAATTACGAAAATAAAAATATAAGATATAAAAACCCAATAACAGAGAAAAAAAAATAATAATAACTTAAAAAACAAATTTACGAACGGGACGATATAAGTCGTCAAGATCCTGGAAGAAAGCAGGCGATTTCAATAAAAAACGAAATACCAGGTAAACGTTCCTTAATTTCAAAAGGAAATATTATAATGACTATAAGGGAAGTATAAACTCAATATTCAACATTGTCTTGTCAACTTGTCCCACCCGTCGCAATAAAGAATTACTTTATAAAACTAAAAAAGTCTGTAAAACTAAATAGTGTAACAAAAAACTTTTATTGTTTGTTTAGATGTTGTTGGTTTTTAAAAATATCAGGGTTCCATGGATAAAAAAGCTTAAAATATTAAAATATAAATTGAATAAACATACACAAATTAGTTCAAGTGTCCCACCCGTCCCTGTATGAAAAAAAGTTAATAAAAATTTGTTGTTTTTTTCAAGAAAAACAACTTTCTTAATTATTTTGTTTTAATTGGTTGCTTTAGCCCCACCTAATTTTTCGTCTTAGAGCAATTGTTAGAAAAATAAAATCCAAATAAAACTTTATTCTTATAATAAAATAAAGAAATACTTGTTTTTTAAAAAACGCTTTAAGTACGAAAATTGTGTAATAATGAATTGATAATATTGTAAAAAAAATAATTTATTAGGTGTACTGTTTGTTTGGTATTTGGTAAATGGCCCAGACAGAAAGTACATAAATGATAAAAATATGAAATTAACACCTAATATGGTAGCAGAACACGTAGTATAGATAGCGTATATTAATTTCAGTAACCGAATCTTTTACAAGCGAGTCAAATAATTCGTTACATATCTTATTTAACATAACATACATGCGGTAACAGATAAAATTTCGGTACCAATAACTTTACCGTTATTTTCTATCTTATTTGGGTCATTTGAAATTTAATCATTTAGTTTAGTATATAATTATTTGGCATCATATATAATATATAGTAAGAAGTATATTATATTATGTATCAAGTCAAGAACAAACTTACGATATTAAATGAGTGTCTAGACAAGTTTATGAACGAGTTGCATACTATACCTTTTTCTACGACAAGTACTTATTATTTAAATTAAATATTTTTATAAAGCGACATCTATAAAACAATAGAGTAACCAACTTGAAATCTGTATCACCGGTGAAAATGTAAAATTTGTATGTGTAAATCAAAATGGAAAGCAGTTTTTTGCAGTGAAAGTAAAGAAAATGTTTTATTGGGAATCCACGGTTAAGTATTCACCCGAAATTAAGTTAAATATAGTTTACTGCAGACAAAAATTTAAATGGCAACTTGGGTCAAAATTTTGGAAGTTTTTTCATTATAAAATGTTTACGAGGTGTGTTCAGAAAATAACAGGAATTGTTAAATTTCGCGGGTTCAGAGGGTCCGGTTGTCATAAAATTTTCTTTATTATGTTGGTATACATGCCCCCGAAGTATGATAAAAACTTTAGCTGTTTTCATAGTTTACTTTGTCTGTGGCAGCCGCTAAGGTTAGACGTGTTTTATGAGCTCGGCGATTTTTCGTTCGTTAAAAGAAATGGATCAAAGAATTTGTATCCAATTTTGCTTAAAAAATTAAATAAATTCTGTGAAATGTTAACAAAGGCCTATAGTGAGTCTGCTATAAGTAAAACAAGAGTTTACAAGTGGTATAAGAGTTTCCAAGATGGCCGTGAAGACGTTGAAGATGACGAACGCCCCGAACGCACAACCGATAAAAACATGGAAAATGTGGAAGAAATGGTTATAAACCATCAGAGAAGTCGCTGATGATGTTGGTATATCGATTGGCTCATCCCATGAAATTTTTTCGAATGTTTTGGGTATGAAACGCGTGGCAGCAAAATTTGTTCTAAAATTGTTAAATTTTGAACAAAATTTTTGGCCAAAAACAATACTGTAATGATGCCCCAGCCTCCATATTCGCCAGACATGCCTCTGTCTGACTTTTTCCTATTCCCAAAAATAAAGAGAACCTTAAAGGGCCGTCGTTTTGCAAGCATAGATGACATTAAAAGCGCATCGCTGAAAGAACTAAAGGCTATCCCAAAGATCGAGTTTTAGAAGTGTTTCGAGTATTGGAAGAAGAGCTGGCACATGTGCATAATATCCAATGGGGACTATTTTAAAGGCGACAACATTAATGTAGACGAATAAATAAATATTTGTTTCAAAAAACGAAAATTCCCGATATTTTCTGAACACACCTCGTACAAGTAACTAAATATTTAGTAACAGTTCAAACCCTTAATTTTTTTAAAAGCATAATATTTCTTTACAATCGGTCATTTCGGTAACGAATTAACATGCATTTGATGATATAGGACAGGGTTTGCAAGTAATTGATGAAAAGTCAGCACTATTGATTTTCCGTTGTTTTGGGGGTATAAATCTCCCGTTTGGGAGTAATTTGCGACATTTGTCAACATTGTGTTTAGGTCTGTAGGTCTCCTCCGTTCCTGCTATATAAAACCGCTTCTGCGCAAAAGGATTCGAACACAGTTTGCGCATGTGACGTATAAATCGCATACTGCACCAAACAGCTGTAAATCTATGTTCCTGTTTTTTGTCTTTCCGTTACTGCTCGTGTCTTTTTCGTTACATCAATAGGTTATTTCCTATCGCCAAAATGTACACGTACATTTGTGAAAAATAATTTAAAAAATCATTGATCAATAAAGACTAACAAAATAAAAATAAAAAAGTATTCGTTATCAAACTTTAAATTCACTGAATGATGTTTGCAGTGTTCTTATCTATGTACATACATATAATTAGGTTAAACATATACCAAAATCTTTTTGTAAAATATTACCATTTTTTCATTTCAATGTTTTTATTTAATTATTACACTTTAACAAGTGTATAGCTTTATTGATTTTTCTTCAAAACATTAAAATCAATCCACCCATGATTTTTTGTGTAGATTGAAAGGTTAAGTCGAGAAAATCGAATGAATTTATAATACCGTAAGAAAATTGGACTAATAACTTTAGTTCGACAAATCGATAGCTGTTGCAACTGCGTAATGTCACTGAATATTTTAGTATTATTTACTCCAAAAAAGATTTGATTTATTTTTACTTAGAATGCATTATTAAGTACAGTTCCAACAAATTAAGGGGATTTGTAAAATGTGTAAATAAGTAATTTTTTTGTTACCTTTTATATTTGCATTAAAACTGAAACGCATTTTATAAATAGTTTTTAAAATAAATGTACAAAATCATTTAGATTACATAAATTAATTTTTTCAATATTATTAAAAAATGATTACGAGGTGTGTTCAGAACATAACGAATTGTTAAATTTCGCGGGTTCGGAGGGTCCGGTTGTCATTAAATTTTCTGTATTATGTTGGTATACATGCCCCCGAAGTATGATAAAAACTTTAGCTGTTTTCATTGTTTACTTTGTCTGTGGCAGCCGCTAAGGTTAGACGTGTTTTATGAGCTCGGCGATTTTTCGTTCGTTAAAATAATTTGTATCCAATTTTGCTTAAAAAATGAAATAAATTCTGTGAAATGTTAACAAAGGCCTATAGTGAGTCTGTTATAAGTAAAACAACAAGTTGTATAAGAGTTTTCAAGATGGCTGTGAAGACGTTGAAGATGACGAACGCACAAGCACATTAACAACCGATAAAAACATGGAAAAAGTGGAAGAAATGGTTATAAACCATCAGAGAAGTCGCTGACGATATTGGTATATCGATTGGCTCATCCCATGAAATTTTTTCGAATGTTTTGGGTATGAAACGCGTGGCAGCAAAATTTGTTCTAAAATTGTTAAATTTTGAACAAAATTTTTGGCCAAAAACAATACTGTAATGATGCCCCAGCCTCCATATTCGCCAGACATGCCTCTGTCTGACTTTTTCCTATTCCCAAAAATAAAGAGAACCTTAAAGGGCCGTCGTTTTGCAAGCATAGACGACATTAAAAGCGCATCGCTGAAAGAACTAAAGCCTATCCCAAAGATCGAGTTTTAGAAGTGTTTCGAGTATTGGAAGAAAAGCTGGCACAAGTGCATAATATCCAATGTACAGGTATATAGGTTAAATATTGGATGACATATTTAATATTACTTTAATTAGTAATTAGTTTTATTTTTAACTAATAGTGTGTTTTTTCTTTTAAGTCATTATTAAAAGTTTTTTATATCATATAGAAGTTTTAATCTGGTAAAAATATGACTTACAAGTTAAATTTGGTTTAGGGTGAAAATATTTACGTTAAATTTACCGTTAAAAATCCCTTACAATAAAATATCCTATAAGTATAATTTTCTATGGTAAAAATTACGTTAAATAAACATCATTAAAATGCTTCAGAGTTGTAAAAGTCAATAGTTTTTAAAGAAAGTAAAAAATTCATAATAAAAACTTATTATATTACTTGGCAAATTTTTTTACTTTAATGACAGTTTTTAAAGTTAACTTAACGACATATTTACTTAAATTAGGTAATAAATCCACAAATGCTGCTTGTATTTTTAAAATCTAAAAATGAATTTTTTATTTGTTTTAACGTCAAATGCATTGTTTTCTCATTAAAAATAATTTCATTTCTTGAACAACAAACAGTTTGAAGGCCGTTGGGTTATCTAATAAATAAACTTGCATAAAATAGAAAAATATTGGAACAAATTGTTTATTGTAAAATAATTGCTGTAAAAGGATGCCATGTGTGTATTGTATTCCTTTTAACGTTTTTTTGTTGTGTAAATGTTCTTACCTTTCATATCATTATCAGGTTGTGGTCTCATAATATCATTTAAATAGTGCTCTAAGCCTCTCATATTTTCTAAAGGACTGCTTCCATTTGCATTAACTACGCTACAACGGTCCTGTAAGAAAGGATAATTATATAAGAAAAAGTAGCATGTCTACGTCATTCATTTTGATCTTTTTTCAAACATTTCAAAGCTTTAAAGTATGAAATGCAAAATTTATTTTTAAAAATAAAATGCTCAAAGGAAAGTTTCTGCTCTACATATTCTCTCGTCTAAATATACTCTGGATTTTTTTACGTTCTTACCTAGTTTATATTTTTAATCTGTTATGAGCAATAAAATGGGGCGAAAGCTACTTAAGGTCTTCTTCAACTTAATTAACTTAATATGCGATATTTACGTAAAAATTCTTACGATTTAGTTTGAACGGAATCTAAATATAACTTTTACAGCTTTGGATTATTTTTAGTCGGTCGGTGTGTCGTGTGTGAAATCCAAAAAATTAATATCCATTGAGTTGTAAATTTTTGGTAATGATTGCAGAATAGCAGATTTAATTTAATTTTCATCTGTTTATATTTAGATTGCCTGCTATCCTGAGTTAACTCATGGTCATTGCTATTTTCAGCTAGCTGCTCTGCTTACTACACCTGGGATTGTCACATCTCTCAATATCATTCAAAAGCATCAACACATTGTTTTTGGAATTATTTGATTGATTCTGAGTAAATGATCAAGCTTTAATTATAGTAGCTGGAGATGTGGAAAAATATCTAGGTATTGTTATTTATCTTCTGCGCGATTTTATGTGGTGGGCGTGGTTATATAACACATTTATGTATAAATAAAAATCAGCATTGATAGGTGCACAAATACACAGGCATGGGTGTAATGGGTTGAAGATGAATGTACACAACAAAACAAATACAAACACAAAAACAAAAATAAAAATTTATTAACAAAAAATAAATCACAGATACAGTTAAACACAACAATAAATAACAACAAACAAAAAAAGTACTGGTAGGTATCAACAAATAGCATGGTAGCGGTGCAAGCGAAAACAAACAAGAACAAAACAAACATTAAAATGGGGTGAAGCTATGATAGTCATATAGAGCAGATAATAATCACATATGGTGCTAATAGCATGTGCCACACATTACCTGATAGGGAAGTAGTTCTCTGGCCTCGTCCATATTGGTAATTTCGAAGGTGGGTGGTTGTGGAAAAGGTCCTTTTCCAGGATATGAAGTGCTCCGTCTGAATTTGACCGGAGAGATAACTTGTTGGTGCTGATTGAAAGTAGGGCTGGGCTTTCGGCCAGCAGCCGCGACCCCCATCTGTTGCTGTTGCAAGGGGGTGAGGTTGGGCACGCTGCGGCCGCGATTCCATACGGAAGAGTTGCCGGCGGCCCAATTTTGGCCAGGATTCGCCCAGGACCCTCCGCCGCCGCCGCCGCCGCCGCCGTAGCCCTTGTAGAGCGCGTGGCTGGACTGCTGGCGGGCCATGTTATGCGGAAAATTGTGGCTGGCCGTGATGGCTCGCCTCCCTTGCTGGTTCGCCTGATTCATGTTGTTGCTGTATAGCTGTTGGGGCCCGCTCGAGTAGTTTTGAAAGGGTAAATTGCCGCCGGCTCCGTTGGCGGGCCCGACTGGAACCACGGCTCCACCGTTCAGGTTATTCAGGTTGGCTGAATAGCCATCCTCGATGGCTGTGGACCACATGGGGCCGTGGGGCCCGTGATTGCCTGGCGGCGCCTCGACCGGATGGAAGAGAGGCGGTAACGCGGACACGACTTTATTCGGAAGAGGAGCTTGTTGCTGCTCGTTTAATTTGTCTGCGGAAGGATGGATGGGGCCAGCTGTTCCGAGCAGATTGCCCTCCATGCACGATGCATCTTTTGCGCCGCTCGGAGATGATAAGGACGCACTTTTATTATCGGTCGTTGCAACTACGGGTTGGTCGTCGCCGATGTCTTCACTGCTAGCACCGGAAGCTGAACCACTGACACCGGTTTTGTCAGTGATTTGTTCATCTTGCATTGTCGAAAGGTTACAATCTGCTGCCGTATCGTTAGCACTGCACACCACCGTAGTAGATGTAGCCGAAGGTGTGGTATAAAATTTCTGATTCGAATTCGAACTCTTTGTCGTCGTGTTTAAGGATATTTCCACTGCACTTATCCCGATGTTTGTTGCATTACCACTCAAACTAAACTCCCCCATTAGTGCACGTCACTGTGTTTAAAGGTCGCCGATTACGGGTCTCCTGTCCCGACTCTTCGTTATGTCATACACATATACTCGGCACTCGGTCGGTCGGGCTCTACCTTACTAAACGCTTAAACACTTAACTCAACCAGTGAACCATCAGCCCAGTTTCATGTTAGTGTCACTAAGTTAGTTTGCGCCGTGGTGCTAGTCCACACCACCACAGGACAGCGTAGACGTAGACATAGACGGTGATCGGTCCACGATCGCCGGACCTCTACGACCTATCGACGACAATATCCGACTTGACACACACACCAACCAACATTGCATTCACAATCGAGTTTGCGCGCCAACCATTCAATTCTCCATTCACGTCTGTCCACTCATGGCCTCCTGCTCATTCTATCTCGCTTCTCCATCGCCTTCCCTGACAACACTTCCCAATCCATTCCATGCAACATTGCCACGTCCTCTCCATCCTCTCTTCCTTTTTAACCTTTCCGACCAATCAAACCAAAAAATATATTAATCTAAATTACCTGCAAAACTATCTCATATTTTCAACCCAAAACTATCCTAAATTCATCGCGAATTTCCAATATTTTTTCCCAAATTTTTATACATCCTGGCAACAAGGTTTCCAGCTCCTTATCTTTTATGTAGCAGGCAATGGCGTGCAGTGCCATTTAAAATGAGGTAAGAAAGTTTATTTCTTTGCCCAAAAGTAGGCACAATTAAAATCAAGGACCTTCGTAGACTTCAAGCCTTAATATTGGCATCGTTGAAAACTAGAAGATTGACTGAAAAAAAGGTTTACAAAAAAGTTTTTTTACACTAACACCAATAAACTGACATATATAAGATTTAACATAAAAATTTTATTACATATTTTAATTAATACCTTACCTTCAAAAACATTAAACAAATTAATTAAATTTCATTTATTTAAAAAGAGTTTTAATGATTCCAACTCCACTGTGAAAGTACATACAACACGCCACAGCACAACACAACCGGCAAAATGTAAATTAGAAATACCTATAATAGAATTTTAATATTATATCACTGCCCGTAGAAAATGGCGAATTGCAAGTTGCAATGATACACAACGTACTAAACACGTGTGCCGCAAACGGTGTGCGCGTTTTGCATCCCCTCCCATCCCAGATAGCAAAATGTAGTCACAATGCGCGCACAGTGAGTGCACGCGTGCGTCTTTAAACTGCACGCGTGCGCGCAGATCACCACACAGATGCGCTTACATATGTAGCGCACGTGTGCCGGCGCATTTAAAGCGCACGTGTGCCGACGCACTTCCAGCGCACATGAATGAGTCAAAAAAGTTGTATATTATAAAAGGAAATGCATATATAACGACTGGTTTAATGCAAAGCTACCAGATTTTGTTGGAAAATTGACATGCTATTGGGATAATTGTGATGTATCTTGAATGAATTGCGTAAATATAAATAATTTTCATAGCTTTTGAACAAAAACACTTTGCACTTGGTTGAAAAAAGAAACATTCAAGAGATTTTGTATTTTAACTATACGATTAAGATTAACCTTTTAAATTTTCATTATCCTTCTTAATAAAATTATCGGATTTAAAATTAAATAGGAAAACATAAAAAATGTCAAAACGTCAGGGTATGCACGCCACTGGTATCAGGATTACTATACACGCGTAAGCCTTTTGGAATTGCGCGCGCACCTGATCGAACAGCTGATGACGACACTTCAACAATGTAATATAAGTGGCATTTTGTAAACACCACCCCCAAAACATACAGGGCCGTATTTGAAACAACCAACTTTACTTCCCACGTACCGTCCTTTATTGATTTTCTCAAATCCCGAAACGCTCTTACAATTTTACCCGGAACCGATTATATGCAACGAAAGTTTATAAACTTTTATATGCATTGAGTCAATTATTTTAAGCTCAAAACGTGCTAAATTGGAGAATGCGCTGGGATTAATTTATAACATTTTTATATCTACATTATAATAGTTATATAAAATATAATAAATAATTGTAGAATTAATTATATAAATTATAACAATATAATAATTTAAATAATGTAAATTTGCAATTAATTAAATAAATTCATCCCGGCGCATTCGCCATTTTTGAGAGTAACACTTGAAATTACGTCTTGATATTTTTTATTCAAAATTTCAGTATTTAATTGAATGTGAATTAGTTTTCAAATTATACCTACTTAGGTAGTACTAATTTAAACATGGTTGCAACCTAATTTAGTACTACTTAATTAGGTATAATTTGCAAAGTAGAACGCTTAAAATAAATTCATACCTTAATGTAAATTTACTTACTAAAGTGATTGATTATCGCCTAGGCTGTAAAAATAACTAAAACCAATCGGGTACAGTTTTTTTACCTCCAAGTCTGTAAAAAAATCGTCTATTGTCACGTTCTACTTTTAATAATATATACATATAATTATAAATATTATATTTGTAGACGCTGTCCATAAATCTCGTGACGCTGAAAATCGTCAAAATTGACATTGTGCTGTGCTCGTTGCAAATAATTTAATACGCTGTTTTTAACACATTATATTATTTTAATAAACTTTAAATCAGAGTTCGATATTTATGCCTCCTTAATGCATATTTAAAATATGTTTGTCTGAAAAAATCAATAGGATTTTATTTTGAAATTGGTAAAATTGTTAAAATGGTAGGTAATAATACTTTCTCAATTATTAAACTTCTGTATTGATTTGAGGCAAAATTGAAAAAGTTAATTATTTATGCCTTTTGACCCATTTTGTTGTTGTTTAATATGTAAACACGACTAAAGCTTCACTTAATGATTTTTTAATAAAGTACAACACAACATGCATTTCTTTTTTATCCCTAATCTAAAATCCATTTTCTATTCAAGTCGGTTAAATAAAAAAATAAATATATATATAAACGAATTTAATAACTTTTTTAATTGTAGTGGTTTAACAAAATACAAAATAACTATGTTTAACGGCGTTTATTCTTCTTCTTTTGCGCGCCTTTATTTTTCTGTGGGAAGGCACCTTTAGCCATCTTTGGGGAGGGGTCCACATTCGATCCGGGACTCTCTTGGGCCTCCTCGACGTATTTGGAGAAATCGCTAAAAAAATAATTTTAAGTTCCCAGTTCTCAATTGTATAATTAAAATTTATAGAACAAACTCTTGAAAAAATAAAATATTCATCTTACTATTGCTCAGCTTGCCCAGAAGCTGTTCCTTGCGATCCCTTAATAACATCCTTAGTTCTTCTATCGCGTTTCTTTCTGTATCCAGATCTTTCATACTTAGGCAACCAGCGTTCAGGGTCTGGGGCCGAGTTTGAATCATAGTTCTTGAGCTTGTTTTTCCTGGACTTACGTTTTTTTGCCTTCTTGACCGTCTCGTCGGTTTTTGGAGTGCCTGGATTGGAGTCCTGTCTGACGCCTGGACTTTTCTTTGCATTAGCAACTGCTGATGATGTTATTATTTGAAGGTTTTCAAGGTCTACGCCCACCGATAGTTCTTTTATGCTTGGCAGTTGTTTTGACAAGGTTGTGGCCCTGTTTTTGTCAAACTAAAAATTATGTTATAATTAAAGCATGGCTCCCACGGCTAAATTACAAATTTTGTTTTTTGGAGAATTTTAGGAGTAATGAAGTATGCAAATGAATTTATGTAATTAAATTAAAACAACTCTACACGAGCGATCGAGAGCGGTCCGGAGGAACAGCGCAGCATGGAGCAGTTAGTTAAGTTCTGGTACTCGCGACGAAATAAATAAATATACGTACAGTACAGTAGTGATATATAAATAATTAGTAGTTAGTTTTATAGTTTCTTATTGTTTTAAGTGTAATTTAGTTATAAAATAAATAGTTTAGTTCGTGTTTTAATTCACACTGCGAAAAGTAAAAACGTTACAATATCATTTAAAAGAAAATTAAAAATCCTTTTTTTGAAATAAAACGGTATATTTTTTCGAAAACAAACGAAAACATGGATTTTGTTTTTTAGGTATATTTTGTTGTTTTTTAAGAAAAATGTAGGTTGTGATATATCATTTTAAAAAGAATTGAATAAACTAGAACCCAAAAATAAATATTTTTTATTAAAGAAATTTCTTAGCACGACAATTACCTTAATTAAACGCAGTCAATTTGGCCTATTTATATTTATTTTTTAGAAGATTTATGGCAAATTTAGGAGTTTTAAAAATTTAAGTGTATTAAAATCTTACCTGTGAGCAGGCCAAAATCAGCTGAGCTACAATTCTCTTGTCATCCTTGTTGGCTGTTAGAAGCTCTTCCAAACTATTGGCAGCCACTTGAGGGTGTCCATTTTTAATATGGAAATCAGCAGCCTGTCTCCATAAACTAGACAAATCGACATCCTTAATTTTGTTTTTCTTGTACCAATCCACGGTTTTTTCGAACACTTTCAAAGCGGTTTCTTCGTCCCCTAAGCCTAGGTACAAGGTAGTTAAAGAGCCGACAATTGCGGGCCTATAACTGTTCTCCCCAAGGTTTTCCAATACCTTGCAAGCTTTCAGCTTTTCACCCTGTATTAAATACAACTGGGCAATGCATAGCTTCGTGAACAACGCATCGCTTTTGCTTGCCTTCGCCGAATATCCCTCCAACACCTTTATTGCTGCGTCGTACTTCTCGCTTTTCACCAGCGTCAGCGCAGAAAGTACGGTTGTATGCAGAGACAATTCCGGCCAGGTCGACTCAATTTGTTTGCAGCACTTCTCGCACTGATCGCTTTGGTTTATGTAGTAATTCAAAATGGCGTTATTCAATGCGATAAATTTACGTTGTTTCGAGGGCAGTTTAAATTGCAAATTCTCGTTCATCGCCGTTTTCATTTTCTTCTTCGAGTCGAACAAGTTTTGGTCTTTGTTTATGCAAACGGCATTGTTGCTCGCCACAGCCACCAAAGCGATGTCTTCAATCTTCAGTTTCAGATTTGAAACGTAGATTTGCTGCGCTTCCTTCACTCTGCCCTGTTTTTGATACACATAGGCCAATTGAATTCTAAAATTATTTACCTTTAATTGTATCCCTTTGAAAAAAGTTTTAAAATTATAATTATAGAAATTTTTTTATCTTTTTGACATAAGACAACAAAGGGTGTTGAAATTTGCGACTTAACTTTCTATCGAAAGTTATTAACCAATCAAAGCACGGCATCCTCCATCGCAACCTAGTGTACTGTGCCCTGATTGGTTAGAAGTGGTTTCTATCGAAATTGATTAACCAATCAGAGTATGGCATTCTCCACAGCACACTAGATTAAGTCAGAGAATGCAGTTAGCTGATTCGTGTTTGCCTTCTTTTAATTTGCAAATTTCAAGAAACACCCCTCAGCTAATTTACATATGTAGGTAAATTTATTTCATAATTAAATAGGTATTCTTATAGTATAATTACCTAATTAGTGCTAACTCCAAATCAATTTCATCTTCAGTCGACTCATCTTCCTCCAAAGATTCCCGGCATAATTTTTCACATTGCCTTAATTTCTTTTCAGCTTCAGCAAAATTGTCATTTTCAATTAATAAACAAGCCTTATTATAACATAATTCATATGTTCCATCACCCAAGTCATCAAAATCACGACTCTAAAAACATAAATACAAAGGTATAAAATATTATGAAATAAACATTATAATTATGAAGATTTTAGCCATGTGTATTCTCCAAGATTTTAGCCACACAAGTACAAACTCCATGTATACAAATAAAATGGGGCTAATACTGTAATAGTAGAATGGTATAAGCAAAAAAGTAGTATAAAGAAACATTACCTCAGAATTTTCCAAATAAACTGAAACAGCACTTAAATTGGTATGCCTCTCCTCTTCATAATCATCATTTGTGTTTTTGATGATCTCTTGATACAAATTGGCAGCTTCAGTGAATTTCTCTATTCTATACAATATTTGAGCTTTCAACTCTTTGATACGTAAGTCGCTTACTTCATCATATTGCTCAATTATTTCCAATGCTTCATTATGTTTATTTACTCTATAAAAGCAGTAAGCCTTTTCGAATACCAAATCCCTAAAAAATTATACTTACAATGCAATACATATGTTGTTTAATGTACTTACGTTACCCATTGTGGGTTTTTATTCAACAAAGTTATAGCATCATCAAACTTTTGCAGTTCAATCATGCAAACAATCTTGCAGTGAAAAGCAAGAAACTCTTGAGGGGCAACCCCCAAAACTAAAAAATATTATTAATAATACCCATATGTTGAACTTGTACATTACTTACTTTTATTTGCTGCCTTTAACGCCCTTTCATGCTCCCCATTTTGGCTAAATTTATTCAGCTCCACGTATTGCGTTGCTATCGTTTTTTCTTTTGCTGTTTTTTCCGTCATTTTCATAGATTTATGTTTTGAGGTTCAAGTTTTAATGACGTTTCACTTTCATAACCTCAATAATGCCGGCAATGTAGGGAACTGTAGTGTGCCAACTTAATTTAAACTGCCAGTTTTAAAACAGAGTTACATAATATACGTTTATTATAAAGAACTAAATAGCTGTATACTGCTCTTTAATATAGTTCACAGAACAGGGGAGTTTCTTGAATTTTGCGTCTTTAAATTTCATAGAAAGTGACTTCTATCGAAATCATATAACAAATATATCAAAGCACCGCCTTATATGTCGCAATCTAGTGTGCGATGGAGAATGCCGTGTTTGGATTGGTTAGTCCAAATTTCAAGAAACACCTTCCAGAACATTATTTTCATAGTATGTATGATATTCATTTTTGACCTACCCATAGAAATAGACCACCATCACATACAGAGTGTGTGTTGCTGTAACAAACACCTACAATTAAACAAACCAAGACCCTTTCACATTAATAATATTAGTAAGGATTAGAAAAGGATTGAATTAAAAACAGATCAGTTATAAATGACTTTATTAATTACAGTGTAAATAAAAGACAAAAATTAATACAAAGACAATAAATATTTAGATTTTGTTAAAAGCAGCAATATCGACACTTTGAACATAATCTTCAATGGACTCGATTTGTTCTTGTAGCCAATCAATGGAGACTTTGTCATCTTCGACGACAGTGGCGATTTGTAGCTTGTGAATACCATAGGCAAGTGGTACAAGTTTAGAGGAACCCCACAAAAGACCATCATGTGTGATTTTTTTTACTTCTACTTCCATGGCTTTCATGTCAGTCTCATCATCCCACGGTTTTACATCGAAGATTACGTTGGATTTTGCGATCAGAGCGGGTTTTTTTGATTTTTTGGCTGCATAAGCGGCAAGACGTTCTTCTCTGAGTTTGGCCGCATCATCATTTTCACCATCGGAATCTGAACCGAATAGGTCTACATCGGAACCCTCCGATTCGCAGTCAACTGGAACATTTTTGCTGGTTGAAACTTTTGGTAAGTCAGCTTTAGGAGCGGTTTGTTCCATTTGGGCACAACGTTTTTCCAAAAGAGACAGTCTGTCCAAAATTTGAGTAATAACTAAAACAAAAAGTCATTAAGATGTTTAGACCATAGGATTGTCCTAACGCATTCAATTGCCGCCTAATAAGTGTTGACACTGTCAAAAATAAAAGTTTTTTTGAATGCCATACATTTTGTCTAAAAAGCAATGTCATTGGCAGTACAATTACTGTGCTGCCAATGAAACGGATTTTCAAAAAAAAATATACTGTGCCACAGTACTGCTAACTCAATAAACCAAAAATACTAAATGGCTCTAAAGTCACAGCATGAGGTAAACTGAGAAAAATCCAAACTTAGGATGGATGTGCTGGTAAATTTAATTATTTATTTAGTACAGTACATACCTTTTTCATATTCCCCCATCTTTTCCATAAGTTTTACTGCTCCCAAGTTGAGTGAACTGTCTCCCTTTAAAAACCACGAAAAATTAGTTTTTCTTAATGAAGATAAATTTTATATGAACACAATTATAAAAATTTAGATAGTTTTTGTCAAAATGTCCCATAGCTTAATTTATTTATTACATGCAAAAAATGTATTGTTAAGTCGTTAGATGGGTTAACAAAATTAATAAAAGGTGCAAGGAATAATGAGGTAAATAATATAAAACTTTTAAAATACATCCTTTTTTTAATACTACTCCTAAATAGCTGCAAAAACTGTCGGTTTTATATTTCTTTTTATTTTCTGCAAAATGCATAATTTCTATAGAAAATGATTTCAATAAAAAGCAATAAACCAATTGGAGCACAGCATTCTCCAAAGCACACTCCAATTGGTGTATTGTCATCTATAGAGATCATTTTCAATAAAAATTTAATTAAATGTGTCAAAGTTTAATTCTTTTTGCAGATATTTAATTGCTGTATTACCGGACTAAAAAAGTTTATGATTTTTTCCATGCACAGGGATAAAATACTCACAGCAAAAGTATCCCTAGTTTCAATTAGTCGTTGACGTGCTTTTGCTACTTCATTTGCCAAAGGAGTTATGGAGGCCTGCACCACAGAAAACACAGGTTTTAGGCGTAAAATCATTTAAATAAGAAGCCTAAACCACTGCGACCTTATTGCATTTGTTTTAGGGGTATAAATAAGGATTGGGTAAAATATATATGATTTAACTGTGTGAATATTATTGAAGTATATTAAAAACAGTCGCCATTTTGTTACAAGAACAGCCTTGCACAAAGATAGTGATTGACATTTATATAGGTATGTGGATATTAAATTTTTTTGACTTTTTGATATATCACAATAAAATTTTAAAATTCTTTATTACAATTAGGTATATTAACATGGTTAAAAATACACTAAAAATATAAATGTTTTAAATGAATACTAATATATAGGTATTATAATTTCGATAGAGAATTCAAAAAAATGTGTAGCCTGTCACAGTGGTGTTCCCCTTTAAGGGCAAAAGACAATAACATGATTAAAGCGACTTATTAAGCACCATTGTTTGCATATCATGAATGATTTAGTTTAAACCCTTTGATGCATATGGTACGGTTAATATTGTTACATATATGTACAAATGAGATTTTGGCGACATACCTTGGCTAATCCTTCGTAATAAGAGGTTTCGGCATCATCGTAGATTGGTTTGGCAAGCCATACATCGGAAGCAGTTGAGTGTTTCATTTTTTGTTCTATAAAAAAATAATTTTTAGGTTATGTCGACACACATGAACATTTTTCGTTAAATGACAACTATATGTAGTGAAACGCTTAAAAAATCAAAATAAGTGCAATAAAGTTGAACAAAATTATTACTTACTTGTTTTTTACTTAGTTTACGGTTAAATTCGAAGAACGTCTGCTGCCAGCAAGTTTGACAGTTTAAGAGAAAGTACGATTTTTAAAAATCGCACATGTGTTATACGTGACGTATTCAACTTACAGCGTCGAAAATTTGCCTTTCAGATAAATTAACTTGTGCAAAGTATACCAAAACGACGTTTATTTATAACTTATTGCGTTTTATTTGGGATTTAAAGGGCAAATTTAAAATAGATTTAAAATTATTAAAATGCGCCTGGATGTATGCCACCAAGTTTACACGAATCTGCAAATTTTATCATAGATAACCAAATCATCAAGTTTTGTAACGCTCTTATATAAACTTTATATAGTTTATATGTATAATTATAATCATTAACTGCATTTTTTCTTTACAAATTTTTGTACAATGAACAAAATAGCCATAGACCCAAATAAGAAAAATACGATTTTTACCAGGTAACACAAAGACATATATTTTTTTATTAAATAATTTATTGGTACAAAAATAATGAAATAATTAGGCATACAAAATTAAGATTGGGCATTGCTATTGGCTTGTGCAGAAACTGGGCCGTTTTGATTAAAACCACCTCCTCTGGAGCTAGCACTGGAGCTGGAGCTGGAGCTGGAGGAAGTTCCGGTGAAACCGTTTCCGTTAAAAGTTTGCGTTTGGGAATTGGACATGGCTGTCGCGTCTGACCCACCTACGGCACCTAAAAATGAAACATTGTCATATTACCCCAATAAATTTTTTTATCTTGTACTTACCAGCTTTGCCGGTCGCACCGCCGGCTGCGGGAACTCCCGGAAATCCGGTTTGAGGAAATTGGTTGTCGAATTTCGGTGCTCCCGGAAATCCGCCTTGAGGGAATTGGTTGAAACCTGGCTGTCTTCCAAAACCTTGTCCAAAGTTGGGTCTTCCTCCGAAACCAGGTCCGCCTTGAGGGAAGGATTGTGGGTATGCTGAGCCTCCGATAGCACCTGCCTTAGCCTGGGCTTCGGAATTCGCTTGTGAAAGATGCTCTGGACCACGATGGTGTCTACGGGGATCCGCTGATCTGACAACCCTGTCTAAGGGTATAACTGAAATTAAAAGAATTAGAATTTTGTATCAAAGCTCATTCTCATCTTTCCTAAACTATGGTATTGAAACCACATAAGCGTTCCAACGGTTGTATATTAAAAAAAAACCCAAACCAAAGTTGATTAATAATACATATTATTACTCATCATCAACTTTGGTCTCGAAGGGTATCTAATTTATACAAAATAATAAACAAATGAGGACCTGTATTATTATTAGTATCTCAACTTTTATTGAAAAGACAAGATTATTTACATGGAGATGCCCTTGAGCATCTGAAAAGATGGACATCATTTGGATGACTTGGGACTCTAGGAACTTGTTATGTGATACATGATATGATGATATATACTCATTTATCTTAATTGAATTAAATTTAAATAAAATTAGTACTTACTGGCAGCATTGACACAAGCTAAAACTGCAAAACTGACTACTATGAAGTTCATGTTCTTGCTAATTTCAAAAACTTTGTATTAATAATATTAATTTAGTTTGTGACAAAAATGATGTTAAGTACATATTTATATATGCTTTTACAATTTTCGCATCCCCACCCATTGTTTGTTTAGTTTTAAACTGGGAACTACCAATAATACATGGTCTAAACTTGTTTGACATTTATGAAAACACAATAATTTAAGTCTAGTTGCCCAATAATTGTTTGGCTATGATTAACAATAGGTACCGGTTATTCCGAAAAAATGTAAACAAAACAACGTAGACAGATTTAATTTGCACTCTTTTTGGAGAGCATCGTATTTATGACGTTAACGGAAACTCTGGAAAAAATACAAATTCCTTGTATTTATTGGTAAAATTGCTACAGGAAATGTTTCATTTTACAAGGACATTTTTAATTTTCGTTATATATATATACATATATGTATGCACAACAAAACAATTTTCACATTAATGCACAAAGCATAGTTGCAACACTAAATATTCTAAAATAAAACTATTAATTTTATATTTTAGGGTTTTAATATCACACCCAGCAAAGCCCATTTAAGTAACATTTTTGAAGTTAAAAAATACGCTATTAAAGTATTCTCTTAAAAAAAGAGATGTAGGTCCCCATAGTTATATGGAAAATAATATAAGGTATAATATCTTTACTTAATCATTTTAACTGAACTGAAATTTTGAAGAACATTTTGATAAATGTTCTGTGCGATATTAGGCACATTGCGATATTAGGCACCTTGCGATATTAGGCACATTGCGATATTAGGCACATTGCGATATTAGGCACATTGCGATATTAGGCACATGTGCGATATAATTTTTATAAGATATATATTTCTTCAAATTGTATTTTATTGAGTATACTACAAAAATATTTATTTGACCTGTTTAGTTTTTTGAAAAAAAATATAACATAAAATATTATTTTTTTGTCAACAGTTTTTTTATGTTTCTAACAATCCTCTGTGCATACGGTAATAATTCTAGGAAAATAATTTTACTTAAACCATAAGGTGTTTTAAATAAATAATAAATCTTTCTCGCATAGGTATAACGTCATAGCTTAAATAAACACCATCAAAAATATTAAGAAAACTAAATAAATAAAAAACCTTATTATTTCACTAACTATATTGAATTTCATTAAATTTTACAAACTAGAATTCTATATTGGTTTTATTAAACCCCATTTAAAATTAAAACATATTCCAATATATGATGATGCAATACAAAATCCATATAAAATTTCAAACTCATTTTATTTTAAATGGACCGGTTTAAAAAAACAATTGTTATTTAATTTGTGATTTTATATATATGTAGGTACTTATAATACTTATAATTGCTTATTAATATTTGACAGTAAAATGCATTAAATGATATTTATCTTTTAGACTATGCCTTTTTTCCATTATTTATTTCATTAATGCATGGGATTTTTTTAGAAATTTTTACACAGACAGAAAATGTAAAAAATACTGTTTTTTATGAATTGAACTAAATTAATTTGCACAAATATTTTGCCCGAAGGGTCCGAGTTAATCTTTAAAATCCGAATGGTTTATTCAATAAAGTACTTGCAAGTTTGAGTTCAATATAAACTACATATCTGCCTTCTTTAGAGGCCAGGTTATTGTTGCCATATTAACGTAAGTACCTAATTAATCAGTTTTTTGTTATTTGCGATCGAAAGTGGTTTTGTTCAAAAGTGATTTGATGTATGATTCATGAAAATTATACACAACTTTAAGTTTTGTTTTAAGCATGACCGCAGATTTTATTAGGTTAAAAAAATACTGTATTAAAAACTAATTAATTTAAATATTTTTATAGAGCGACATCTATAGAATATAGTAACCAAATTTCTGTTTTACTGGGTTTTATAATGACAATGTAATTTGTCAAATTTTCCTGTAAAATCACTTAAAATTGAGTAACAACCGTTTAAATCCAATATAGAATCAGTTTTTCACAGTAAAAGTGAAGAGGTTGTTGGGTACTACTTCACCCAAACATATTAACGTTCAAAGTTTTTAACCAGAGCCTCTGTGTTTTTTAGCTTCAAGAAACTATTGAGATATAAAATATCTTTTACATTTAGTATTATTTCATAACACATCACTTTATTTTGACGATATTATCAATTTTTTTTCTAGGAAACATCTTCGGAATCTTTGAAATTTGTTTTTTTTATAAAAGTAGAAACAAAACAAAAATTATAAACAAATGTAAATATAAATAATATTTAAATTATTTAGGTGTATTTTTTATTTAAAAATGTTTTCAAAAATAAAAAGAATAAAATATTTAGAATTACCATTTTGTAAAAAACACCTGTGTCGTCTAAACATCCATAATTTTAAACCAGACAATTTTTATACGAAAATTTGCATATGTTTAAATTATAAATTATATGGGATTTGACGTGATTGGATTAAAAATTGTTGAAATTTTATATTATATAAATATCTATTTATTTTGACTAAACATTATTTTTAAATAAAAAATGTGGCTTTTACCAAATTCTGGCATTATTAAGATTATTTTTCATATTTTAATTAATTCCCTATTTACATATGTATATGTATGTTACATAATATGTATGGTGTTGGCCATAATTTTTGCAACCACTGTAAAAAAAATCTAACTCTAAAACGACTTTATTATTCTTTATAAAATTTTGGATAAAAATACTAATAATAAATACTTATATCTCAGTTTACGTGTTCGAGGGTTTTTTTATTTAATAATGAAAAAACGTTCAAAAATAAATTTTTTTTAGTAAATAAAAAATATGCTGTTAAAGACCGTATTTTTGTTGGTATACCCTGAAAATGTTGTACAAATTAAACGAACAGTAACGAAGATACAGCGCTTTTAAGTCGGTAAAAATGGCCCTTTTTTGATTATTTTGCTGAAAAGTGGTAATTTTTGACGATTTGAATCGCTGTATCTTCGTTGCTGTTCATTTGATTTGTACAAAATTTTCAGGGTATACTAACAAAAATACGGTCTTGAACAGCATATTTTTTATTTACTTAAAAAAAATTCCCTAAAAGTTATTTTTCGAACGTTTTTTCATTATTAAATATAAGGGATTTAAAAATATTTTCTCGAAAAACCCTCGAACACGTAAACTGAGATATAAGTTGAAGTATGTTTATCCAAAATTTCATAAAGAATAATAAAGGCATTTTAGAGTTAGATTTTTTTTACAGTGGTGGCAAAATATATGGCCAACACTGTATTTTACGGTAATTTTTTGTTTTTGCCTTCTGATATCAAAAAACTGCTTGCTGCTACCTATATATATGAGCTCTATAGAGCTATAGAGATATATCAATGAATTATTCAGGGAAAAGTTGTCATATTAAGAACTAGGTATCCTAACCACTAGAGTCTAGACCATACGGGATATACTTTATATCCCGTATGGACCTAAGATATCTTTACGAAAAAATAGGATCCTTTTTGTAGATCATTTAATTTCCTATTAAAATCATCGGACTAATTTAAAAATGGAAAATTGCAATGAGGAGGATCTTACTCTTAATAATAAGAGCAACCAATTTTTCAAAATCACAAGTTAAAAAAGAATAGTAGTTTTTTTGAATCACCCTTAATATATAAAGTCTTATAAAATTATTAAATTATGTAAGACATAATTATAAAATATAAGCAGTTGTAAAATAAAGTCGTTTTACAAAAATGCAAAAAATCAGGTTGGCGAGGTATGTTCGCTTCAGGAACTGGGATCTTTACCGGACCGATTCGAAAAATTCTTATGTTAATAAACGGTGGCCTTGTCGAAAATTAATCACCTTCAAGTTTGGAGCCGTTGCCGGAGAACCGTATAAAAGAAAAGAGTCACAGGCGAAAATTATCAGTCAAAAATCATCCGGCAAAATGAGGTTCGCTATTTTGGCAGCTCTATCCTGCTTGGTTATCGTCGCAAGCGCCGCCACCTATGATGTGGAGGAACACCATCGCAGCAAGCGCGCACCAATTATCGGAGCTAGCATCTTGGGCGCCGGAGCTTTAGGAGCAGGAGTCATCGGTGCCGGAGCTCTCGGAGCTGGAGCTCTCGGAGCTGGAGTGCTCGGAGCTGGACTTATAGCCAAAGGCGCCGTTATCGGCGGAGTTGTCGGTCGCAAATTCGGAGGCGGATATGGACACGGAGGCGGATATGGATATGGTGGAGGATATGGACACGGTGGCGGATACGGATACGGTGGCGGGTACGGATACGGAGGTGGATACGGACGTAGCTACGGGTAAGGTTTTTACAAACACTAAACATTTGTGCAGCATTTAAGCATTTAAGAATAGTATATTCTCTAACTACCCAGACAGCATCCAATTCAGAAAGATTTCTGTACTAAGTCTGTTGAAAAACATCTTACTGAGGTCACAATATGACATCTTACAGAAATCATTTTTAGGAGTTCAAGATTAAGAGTTCTCGATGAATTCATAAATGAGAAGTTAATTTTAAAATTTTAACATCTTAAAGTTATTTTTTTTCTGACCTCTTATTGGAATCAAAATTAGAAGCTACTAAAGGTATCATAAATAAGACTTCAGTTATATGATATCTTTCTATTTTCTTACTTCTTACTGAAATCATATTATTAACTCTTTAGGCGTCAACATGGAGACGTCATATTTATGACATTTTAATGCGATTACTTTCTTCTCACCCCTGTAACTGCTTGTGTTTGATATAAGAAGCGGCGAAGTAGAATTTAGAGCGTGCTCCATACCAAACGGCCTAAGACCTAGATAAACGGCTACCCGATACTGACGAGCTCCAAAAGAGCGAAACAGGCCGTCTATCGGTGCCGGTGAAGAGTACGCTTGAATTTAAACAAAAGTGAGACGAAGTAATCGCAATTCCTAAAATAAGCGAATACGAGCAAATTATTAAAATGATTTTAATAAAATCAATTTAACAAATTAATAAAATAAACTTGACATGTCAAAATAAGCAACGATCCAGTATGTAATTTGCTCATCAGTACCCTTAAGGGTAATTCTATATCCAAAGCGGGAAATTCTAAAGAAGTCTTTTTATAAGTTTATACAGTAGGACTCTTTAAAATGCTTAATTGCAAAGTTAAAGAAAAGGGTTCCTCAAGAGTTCTTTTTTGAGAAGTCTTGATTAGTTCAATAGGTGGCGCATTCGAAGTCTTAAGAACTTCTTAAAAACTTCTTTTTGATGTTGTATTTGACGTCCAAATCATAAAATAGAGCTTATGCAGACTTAATTAAGACGTCATATATATTGCAATATTGCTGTCTGGGTAGTCCAAATGTTTTTCAGACTATACTTTTTCTACGTTTCTATATTATAGAGATGGCGCCACCAGTGTTTATTTCGTCATCCGATTAAATAATGAATTCATTCTGTAACATTTTCTGGAATATATGTAATTCCTCATTAAATAGTCATATTAGAACGGTCATATTCCGTAATATAAGTAGAAAAACATAAACAATCCATTTAAAAAATAAATTTTATCCGAAATCGGCAGTAAAGTAAAATAAATCGACAGTAAAGTAGAACTTTACCGCCGATTTAATGCGAGTATTGTATGCAACCCATTATACATCTGCTCATCAGCATCAACTAAATAATATTAAAAATATATCATAACTGTTGCATTTTATACCTAAACACTACATTCAAATGACATTTGATTTGATCATCAATATTAAATTTTAGTATTATTAAATGCGATTTCGGATAAAATTTAATATGCACCTCGGCATTAAAGTATTTTTTTATCACTCAAGTGGTTATTTGCCTCGGCAAATAATTTCCACATTCGTGATAAAAAATACGACTTTACTGCCTTGATACATAAATAACTATTTTTTTGTCAATCAATTTATAAAAATAAATTTTAAAATATTTAATAAAAATAAAAGAAAAAAATCGATTTACAAGTTACCTTAAAAAATGACTAAGAAGTTTTCTGCAAATATCATAAAAATAATATTATTAATTCGAATTTTTAATCCTTACAAAATCCGAAAACTATATCCATATATGTAATTTTGTAAATAAAAAAAATATTCGCAAACCCGTTTTATTTAATCAGGTGAGAATGACAAATTACATTTTAAAATTTTCTTGACATCGAATCCAAAAACAAGTTCAACATGATGTCTTTAAGGTCATGAATATTCATTGTCACCATAATTCAAGGTTCATATTTTATAAAAATATATCTTCCTTTTTGGTACTTAATTTATTTACATTTTCAAAACTAAAATTATTTTGAAAATTGGTCTTTCTTTTAAAAAATTTAAATTTAAATCGAGAATTTTTAACCTTTTGCATATGCATATACATATACAGTGTTAGCCATAATTTTTGGAAATTTTGGATAAAAATACTTATATCTCTGTTTACGTGTTCGAGGGTTTTTCGAGAAAATATTTTTAAAGCCCTTTTATTTAATAATGAAAAAACGTTCGAAAAATAACTTTTAGGGTAATTTTTTTAAGTAAATAAAAAATATGCCGTTAAAGACCGTATTTTTGTTAGTATACCCTGAAAATTTTGTACAAATTAAACCAACAGTTACGAAAATACAGCGCTTCAAAGTCTGTAAAAATGGCCCCTTTTTGATTATTTTGCTAAAAAGTGGTCAATTTTGACGACTTTGAATCGATGTATCTTCGTTGCTTTTCATTTGATTTTTACAAAATTTAGTTAAGAAAAAATTTCCCTACTAAAAGTTATTTTTCGAACGAGTATTTTTATCCAAGATTTTTTTACAGTGGTTGCAAAAATTATGGCCAACACTGTATATATATTAATTACAATAACTACATTTTTTTATATGTTATTTTCAGACCACGTTATGGAGGTTACCACAGCAGCCATTACTACTACGACGGCGACTACTACTAAAAACTGATATTTTGTATTTAAATTTGTACAAATAAAGTATTTTTAGGAAAACACGAAAAAAGCATTATTATTTCTTCAACCCCATAAATACAATTCCAATAGTGTGAGGTCTGGATGTCTTGGAGGACAAATGCCATGATTTATAACAAGAACGCTTGGTTATGTCATTTGTTTTAAGTGTCGTTATTAAATTGATTTATTGATTTAAGTAAATTAAAAAATGGTACGACAAATTCTCACAGTGGGATAAATTTAAATAATGGTATACCATACCATCCTATAGGACAAATTCGCAAAATCTGGGTGAAATAAAAAACCATGTAGGTATATTTCTACATTTTATTACATTTTAATTATGTATATTCACATTTGGTTTGATTAATAATGAAGGATCAATACTGTTCAGACATAATGTCCAAAAAGTATATATGACCTCTTCAAAATAATAAAAATGTCCTAATACTATAAAACTGTACAAAATAATAACAAGAAATAAATAACTTAAAGCTAATGTCCAATATAAAATATTAGATTGACCATGTCACACATGTATTCATCACCCTGTAGAAATAAGATTTTTAGGTACGTTCCTTATTTTATATATATGTATTAAGGAACATGAATTTAATAACAATTTCTGTAGGAATACAATTTTATTTGTGCCTGTTTTATTTATCAACCTCATTTTTTATTATAAACCAATCGCTTATCCAATTTGTTATTAAAAATAACAATTTTGTAACTTATAAAAAGCATAACATTCATACCTAATTTAGGTAGTCCGAATCCTTATAATAAGTTTTATTACGTTAAACCCTCCTACATCTACATGTACTATCACTCAATTTTAAAAAGGCCTTATTTCTAAGTCTAAGGCCGTAGTAATTTTCTATACTGGGTGGAGGATTTTTATACCATTCATACATATAGTAAATAGTTCAAAACTCAACCAAAATATGGTCTAATTTCACATAATTTAGATGAAAAAAATCGTCATTTCGGTAAGGGTAATTTTCCGATATAAAAAATGCAAAACCAAATGCAGAAGCAGAACTTCTGCATTTGCGGATGCAAAAGCAGAGGTCTGTTGCAACACTAATTAATATTATAAAAATGGTGATTTTTTTCCCTTCAATACCTAAAAATGCCCAATGGCCCAAAAGGACACAGTAAAAAACTCTTGTATATGAAATTAGCCTTTTGTAGACAGAAATAATGAAGGGTTTTACATTTATAGTATTGTTCGAATTATTTTCTTCTGGTTCTTAGTGAGCAATTTAGTTGTAAAAAGTTGCAAAATACTTCGATGGAAGAAAATACAGTGGAAGACAAATTTTTGAGCTCAGCATTTATTTTTAATGTTTGGCTACAATGTCCGTCTTAAAATAATACTGATTAAATCTCTTCCAAAATAAAATCACTTTGGCACTGCAACAAAAATCGCGTTCCAAAATATTTTGCATCTCTTTGGAAAACAATAATGAATAGTGAAATTGTCTGGCGCGAATGAGTCAGAAGAAGACAATTCCATTTATGAAAAACATTTATCTCCTATGGAATCAGCTACGAGTTGCATGAGTATCGATTTTATACCTAAATAAAAAAAAATTAAGAATAGTACCTTGTAATTGATTCCTTAAAAAAATAAAAAACAATTAAAAAACAGCTTAGGACTCTTCAGTTTCCTCTCTGAACAAATAAGTACTCCAATAAATAACATTGAAGAGGGCGAAAACCAAAGGGAATGTGATTCTCGAAATTACATCAATGCGTTTGGATCTGGTCGGGAATTTTGAAAGCCAAGATCTACAGCAATTGGGCCGAGCCGGCTGCATATGAATCTCGCATTGTCTCACTTTATCCATGTTCATCGGGTCGCCGGGGTGCCGTACCAAAGGCTTCTAGAAACAAATCAAATACAAGACGGTGAAAGGTTGCGCCTTATACAAAGTGACCATCAAACACCAAACATCCTGAGAAACGCACACGGACAACATTGTATAAGTACTCTGCATATAAAGGCCCTCCCAGCAAGAACTGAATAAATAAGGCACAGCGAAGCATGGAGCAGTTAGTCAAGCTTTGGTACTCGCGACGAAATAAATAAAATATAAGTGTAAATATAAAAATCAAACGTAATAGGAAATGCGTCGAGTTCTTGCTGGAAGACACTTTTGATGGACAAGCTGAAAATACAAATGATTGTTTTGTATTACCATTGCAAAGGTAGCGTTGCTATCTGTATCAAGGAGGTCGGATGTGGCGTCCAGAGATGCTGCATGTTCCAACTCGCATTGTCTTCTTTGTTTTTTCATGTTTTCTCGGTGCATGTCAGATCTGGACGCATAGTTGACCAATGCAAATTCAAGTAAAGCACCAAACACAAAGGTCAGACATACGCCTGTCCATACATCGATAGCTTTTGTGTACGATACAGGCGGCAGTGATGCGTTAATTCCAGAAGTTTGGGTTGCCATGGTTAGTAGAGTTGTTACACCTGTAAATAATTAAAATTCTATATTTGGCGCAAAAGCGTTTCAATTATAAACTTTTAGTTCACTGCATGCGAAATTCGTTAATTTAATTAAAATTTCCAATTTCGAAACAAACTATTATTCCTGTTTTGTCACCGGAAATCCAGTTAAGCATTGCATATAGACCAAATAAACATGTTTTCCATGCATGCATCGAAAATTATATTAATTGGGCATTTCTGGAAAACAGGTAAGCGATGATAATAATACTAGTTGGAACCCGGTGTATTCGCCATTTTTGCAAATAACCGACGGTGGACTAGTGGTTAGTGCTGCTGACTACAAGGCTGTTTATTTGTGTTTGTTCTATTGTATATTAGTCCTTCGGAGGGGACTTTAAGCCCGCGGTCCGTTCCTACCCCTAACCCGCTCAAGCCATTCAGTTGGCTTCTGGGACTTCTTAGGGAGTAAGGGTGGAACTAAAAGAGCGTTTTTGTATATAAAAAAATTACGTATATGAAAAAAATGTGCATTATTTCTTTCATGAAATTTTTTCCGCCATTATTATACAGTACGACAAAATTTTATTCGATAACAGCTACAGCTAGACTATATTTGTAAGAAAAATTTATTTACTGAATAAATGGACAACAATTAATATTATTTATTTATTTTAATTATATACAGGGTGTTGCACATGGTCCATTGAAAGTTTCTGAGAAACGGTAAAAGATATCGATTTGAAATTTTTAAAACGTTTATAATCCAAAATTATTATTTTATTTGAGTATAATTTTTGTATTAAGTAAAAACACACAATATTTTAAGAAAAAAATGATTTATAACAATATAGAGAAATAAAAATTTAAAAATTTATAACGAGAAATTTAAAAATTTAGAATTTAAAAAAAATCTAGTCTACAAAATACGCGAGTATACTCGTTTACGCAAAAACGAAGTTTTTAACGAAAAATTTCTATTTCAATTTTACAATGAAAATATAGAAAAATGTATGCCCTATTGTAATATCAAGAAATATTTCTGTAGTAGTATTGTTTTTTTCTAAACTTTTTAAGTTAGTTGAGTTAATCTTGTAAATTCACAATAAAAATACTAAGAATGTAGTATTTACATACTCTGGGTATACCATTTTAAAATATAAATTAAAAAGACAAACTAAATATAAATGTTAAAGGTTTAGAAAGAGAGAACATACAAAACGTAATTTTAACGTTATTTTAACGTTAATATGTGGTATTTAATTCGTTTTTATTACGTTATTCTTTTGGTCGCTTGAATAATTATTATGCAGCAAAAACCACCATTATATTTGGTAATTTTTGTATCTGTACAGTTATTATAACTTAAGTGCAAGTGAGTGGGCGACTGAAATTTTTAAAGACAAGGTCGTTACCGTGTTGAATTATTCCCCCCTCTTAAAAACCGAATTCTGCCATAATGCGTCAACTGTAAAGACCAAAAATGAAAATACGGTATGTAAACCTTAAATGAATTATGTGTGCTAGCTACATAACATATTGATCGGCTAATAATTTAATAAAAAAATCCATTGGCTGAATTATTATTCATGAAATTTTATGTTCGATTTATAATTGATTTATATGCTGTAAATACTAAATGGATTAAAATTGATGCAATGTCAGAATTTATGCAATATTTTAACTTTGAGGAATCATTTTATGACATAGTATTTCAAAAAATTGAGTTAATGCGATGTTGGTTATTTATGTGCATATTAAATTTGATCCGAAATCACATTTAATAATACTAATAATTAATATTGATAATTAAATCAAATGTCATTTGAATGTAGGAAGTGTCTACGTATACTGTTTGTTGAGATGGTTATTATATATTTGCCCGCCGCGGCGATTTTTTAATCTAATTAATAAAATTAACTTATTATTTTTATTAAACAACATTTTATGAAAGGGTCCAATCGAACTCCGCAACGGTGCTTTTTTTAATATTATTTAGTTGCTGCTGAGAAGCAGTAGACACATATTAAATTGTATAATGGGTTGCATACAATACTCGTATTAAATCGGCCAAAAACTATTTTTAACTCAATTAACATTTGATTTTCTGCAGACAACTGTTCAAAGTTTAGACTTCAAACTGTTAAAAAAACCGTCATAAAACTAGATAGATACAGGTTTAGTAGATACAGGTTTAATATTTAGTTTAAATTTCCTGCAGTATTGGGTTATTTATTTATTTTTAATTAAACTCGAAAAATTACATTCCCTTGACACGGGCAGGCAAAATAAATGTATTTCAACTGCGTAGTTCAATTTAAATTTTAAAAATGGTAAGCATATCGTTATTTTTAAATTGCCGTCGAGGCTAATGCTAAAGGGAAATCATTAAATTTGATTGGAAAAATCGCGTACGCACATGTAAATTTAACACGAGATATATATTTTCTTATTGTAAGTCTAGACTTATTTTGCTTAAGGGTTCAATTTGATTTTACTATCAGTTTATGGATGATATAATTTTGTCTTTATGGCTAATGAAAAATGCAATGGCTACATTCTATGAAGACTTTTAAAGCGCTAAAATCTTTTTTGCAGTTCGGGTAATTCTAGACAGCTATTATACAGGGTGTCTCAAAATCATCGGACCAAACGAATTCTAAAACGAAAACTAATCAATTTTGGAAAAAAATTGACTAAAGTCATTTGCATGGGATCCTATATATATATACCCCTATTTAAGCTTTTCTTATGAGCCGCAAACACTTTACATTAAACATTAACAATTTTTGCGGAGAGCAAAATATCAATAATTCTAGAAATTTATGATTTCCCACAGCTAGATTTTTATTTGCAGGTTTGGAAGAAAATTCATTATTTATTTATACATATAAATTGTACCTATTAGATACAATAAATATACATTTTAGTAGTGATTAGAGTGAAAAGTGTAAACATTTCAATTCAGTAAAAATCGTCAAACAAATAAGTCGTCTAAATTTAAACAGCATTTAGCTTTATTAAAAGCGTTGATTAAGAAATTCTCCACTCAACGGTATTATATGTATTATATATTATATTATGTTGCCATGAAATCTTAGGTACATTTTGTTGTTTAAAATGCAGTTGTCGGCGTTTTTTAGAGAACTCAAATATAAAAATGTTTAATTTTAAGGTTATGTTTGTGCAAAAATTATTTTTTACTAATTTCTTCAAAATGTCCAAACTTAAATACTTATAAATTATATTAGGTAAAGTTATCATTAGTTAATTCTGCACCAACAAATGTACTTTTCGAATTGGATCCTTTGGCAAAACATGAAAATGCAACGATTTAGTTCTTGAATTTTATTTACAATTAAAAATACAATAATTCACCATGATCCCTTAGATAAAATACACACACTAACGTAACTATATAAGAATTTAAGCGTTGAGTTTCTTAATCAATGATATAAGGAATAATCGAGTACTAAAAAAGATTTTTAATATTTTCCTTGCAACGTAAAGAAGATAATTTTGAAGATTGGAGAAAGCACTATAAAAATTTGCATTTTATTTTATTTTGGCCAACCCAATTATCAAAATACTTTGTGAAGGCAGTTTTGTTTTTTGAATTTTATCTCAAAAACAAAACTCAAGCATGCTGCTTTTAATTGGTCCAATAACTTGAGTTTCCAATTATTTAGCAGACTACGAATTGTATTTATTTTCAGAATAAAGGTAATCAATTTCTGTTATGGGTATACCCATAACAGAAATTGATTATATATAGTAATTTTATATAGTAATATACTCTCTTAAAATAAATTAGTCAAAAATAACTAATTATAAGTCATATTTAACTTATTGTCATAGCGAAAAAGAAGTCACTAATAATTAATCGAATTCTACTGAATGAAATAGTCAAATTAGTAGATTTAAATTTAAAAAAAGTTTTGACCCAGCCGGGAATTGAACTCCGGTCTGTCGCTTGTCAAGCTGTTGTCATAACCCATTTGGCTATCAGTCGCTCTTATAAAATTCAATTTTATTTGTCAATAAATATTGTTCATAATATCTTATAATATATACATTTAATTCAAATAATACTTTATTGTTGGCCTCAAACGATTAAAGAAATTAGCTACTTTTAACTCTCACAAATGACTAATTCAAATAGTAGAATTTTGACTATTTCATTTTTAGAGAGTACCTATATAATATATAGTAATTTTATATAGTAATATAGTAACTTTCACTTGGATTTGAAAAATTCAACACCGATTGTGTAAGCGCCATGTGACGGAAAACGTTATAAACTGTTGGAAAACCTGGCCCAAAAAATAAAGTAAATTGTTTCTCTGTTCGATGAAATTTCTTTCCAGTTGAAACTTATCTAAGAGGACAGTGTTTACTTTCAATCATACTCGGTTTTAGGTTACCGCGTAAAAACATTGGAAATGGAGAACTTAATTGATAGACAAAGACTCACCCAGAGATACTCTTGCAGGAACTGCACCTTGATCCAGCCAGAAGGAGACCCAGGACACGATTACCAACATGCAGCAGGGTATGTAGATTTGAATTAAATAGTAACTGAATTCCCTTTTGAAGAGAAGGTCCACCTTTAAACAACTGTACTCCCCTGAAAACGCCAATTCATTAATATTCCGGAGTTAAACAATTTAATCCGACTAAAGAGAAAGATCGATAGATATAGATAATTGGTCAATTTGCTTTCCAAATGCCATGCAAACTAAAACAGTTAATAGCATCAAAGGCTTACGATTTGTAGTCTCTCTGATTAAAATCAAATATTAGCTAAAACCACTCACCTGTATTAGTTTTGCTGTTGCAGTAATCGGTTAAGAACTTTTCCAAAGTAAAACGTGGCAGGTGTAAATTCTTTACCACTTGCACGGGATCACCTTCTTTCCACAAAAACACTAAATCATCGGTCGTCCAGCCGTCTAAAAAAATCGCACACTCGTTCAAACAAAAAAGTTTGCCGAAATCAATTCGGTCTACTTACAACTGGCCATTCTTAAGGAACAAATTTGTCTATCTAACGGATACAGTTTCAGATTCATTGGACAGGATAAAGTTAGCGATATTCTGAGGAATAAAATCAATTAGTTTATTGCACTAGTTCAAGTTCACAGCATTTACTATCTATAGGAAACAATGTCTTGATTTTTCTCTTCTTTAATAGTACTTTTTTATAGAAATTCGCAAATGACTTAATCAATGGCAAAAAGCATTTTACGGCAAAACGGTTAAAGTTACAAATAAAAATTAATAAGATTTTTTATAAAAGATTCATTTTCCTTCAAAAAAAGTCATATGAATTTATTCAAGAAAATGCATAGTTTAAAAGATATAAAGAATTTAATAAATTTTAGTGTCAAATATTGATAAACTATTAGTCTATGTTGTTTTACGGCAAAACGGTTAAAGTTACAGGTAAAGAATAAAATAGATTTTTATAGGAAATTTAATTTCTTACAAAAAAGGTTTTATGGTTTAATGCAATAAAATGCATAGTTTTAAAGATATAGACAATTTAACAAATTGTTCTGTCAAATATTGATAATTATTAGTAGGGTTTTATTTTAATATAAACTACACTGTTTAAAAGTTTCACTATTTTATTTAAATATGACAATTGTTTCGCTACACTGTAGCATCTTCAGATCGTAGTTGTAGTTTATATTAAAATAAAACAATATTAACATGGAGTTTCATCAAGTAAAAGTCGAAACAATTAATTATATAATTATTAGTCCTTTGTTGGTTTACAACACAACGGTTAGAGGTACAGGTAAAAAGTAAAAAATACTTTTATAGCAAATTTTATTTTCTACAAAAATAGTTTTATACATTAATGCAATAAAATGTATAGTTTAGAAGATATAGATCTTTTAATAAATTTTATGGTCAACAATTGATAAAGTAATTAGTTTTATCTATTTTGCGTTCATAATGACTTCATTATAACACCGCTTTCGGTGCTGTAATGAGATACTTTATCCCACCCAAAATTTTGATTTTATAGGTTGGCTATACTTTAAACAGCATAATATTTTGCATATTGGTTATAATATTTTTATGATTTTTCTAGTACTTACGAGACTTTTCTGGCAATCAATTTTGTTTGACACCAAAGAAAATCCTTTTTTTCTTCTTTAACATTAACAGCCGCTTATTGTAAATTAGTAAATTAAGGACGGCATGGCGAATCGATTTTGAGATTAACTGTCAAACCAATGACTTTGATACCAACCATCTAAAGTAAAATTCGACCAAATTAAATTTAAGGTATAAAATGACGTCTTATGACATTAGTTCTTTAATATACTATTATCGAAATTTGACAGTTAAATTTATTAAATGTCTATATCTTTTAAACTATGCATTTTATTGTATTAATGCATAATACCTTTTTTATAGAAAATTAAATTTTTGATAATTTTTTTCTACTTTTTACTTGTAACTATGCCCTGTAAATAAATCAATTTTTATTCAAACAATAATGATAGATACATTTTAATCTAAAATATTAAAATATCTATAAAAATCATTTCCTATAATACTATTAACTAAAATAAAAAAATCCTGACAATTAAATATATATATTTAAAATTAAAATCAAAATATATATATATATTATATATATATATTTTGATTTTAATTTTAAATATCGAACGAGATTTTTAATTTAGAATTAACAATCCCAGTTGATATTTAAAATTAAATTAAAAATATTGAACAATGTTTTTAATTCAATCAATTATTTCAATTTTAAATGAAATAAAAATCACTGACACTCTTTTACCACTTGGTAATTCAGTGAAATAAAAATATTGTTTTATATTTATGAACTTAAATCAACAAAGTTTTTTTCTATTAAAAAAAGGATTTTAATGAAATGTTTTACTATTAAAAATATACTAAAGCTTATTATTACTTGTAAATCCTTTTGCAGCACTGTCATTATTATTCATGAATGAAGATAATTATTAAAATAACTGTCATTATAACTGTCAACTCTTAAACCTGGCTCATAATTAATCTTACTTTAAATATCTTCACAGAAAAAAAACGTATGTGGGCCAGTTTCAAGGAAGGGTGGCTACATGTTAAAAAAGACCTAAACCAAGACACGATGGGTATGTAGTGTTTTCAAGCAAATTAAAAATGTGATTATTACCTTATACTATATAAAACAGAACCATAAGGGAAAATCCTAATATAGACATTGGGCATGATAATGTTGTGAAAGTGGCCTTCTTTCTCGTTTGAGAAAAACAGATCGGGCATCCAGACCCTGTTTGCTTCAGTAAGAGTCAAATATTTTAATCGACCCCCAAAATCATTGAATTTTAATCTCTCGTCTAGCCATTGTTCTCGAAACGTCAGCTGGACGCTGTATTCCTGTAAAATTTAGAATTCGACTGAATATGCTGGAATATTTTTAAGCTTCAGCGCAAAATGAATGCTTTGTTTTCATCATTTCAAACGATTTTTAATTAAATTTGATAAAATATTTGATTTAACAGAGTTAATCCTTTTGCCAGGGGATTAGATGAAACCAGAGCATTATCAAGAGCAAATCTATGACATAACAAACACTTTGCATGCCTCGTGCATCAAACGGAATAAAAAATATATCAGATACATACACATTAATATTTATTATTTGTTTAGTTAGTTAGTAGCTAAATTAGTTTAGTTAAAGATTTTTACCATATTCTGCTTCTGCTTTTAAAAACAATATCAATAAATGAATTTTTTGAAACCTGTTAATTTTATACAAATAAATAGAATCATAAATAAATGCATGATTTAACCCCAACGATTCTTTATGATGGAATGACATAAATGTATGATTTTCCAATATTTTGATGATATATGTGTATGAGTCGATCCAATTTCCTAGCCATGATAACACATTGCAATTAATCAATAAATTTTAGAAGCCAATATATATATCGAATACAAAAAACATTAAATACGTTGAAATTTTGATGGCCTTTGTTGCAATTGAGTACGTAACGTATATAAATGAATGTGTATGCATATATATAGAAAAAAGCTTGGTAATTTAAAACGGATGGATATTAAATAATACAATATCAAGCCATCTTAAAGTGGTACAATTATGAAGGGTAGAGGGAAGGACTCTGTCTTATGGAAATTCGGTGCGAAAAGTATTCACCTAAAGGCCTAGGATTATAGTTAAATGAGTACTAAGAATGGCGCTAATAAGTAATTAGAAGTAACACAAATTAACGTTAAATTTACGGTATGCGTGGTTAATTCATTTAAGTAATATTTTGCTACAACGTTAAATTAACCTTAAATTATTAACTTTATTTTGGAATAAGAGGAAAATTCAATTATGGTAAAATTAACGTTATGTTAGTTAAATTTAACTTCTTGGTTAAAAATAAGTTAATATTTGGTAGTTTTGGTTTATTTTACCCTTTTTTAATTAGGTAATTCTATATAATTATAATTTATCAAAAATGGTTAATATGTATACATATTAATTGATTTCTTGAAGAGAAAAAGCAATGGCACATTTTTTTCTGATGAAGTAGTAAATAATGCGCTTTGAAAAAAAATAAGATTAAAAAAATAAAAATTAAAAAAAATATTTTTTTGCCTATTTATCTATTCTTTGGTTTTGATTTAAATTCGGTAAATGTAACACATTCTAGTTAATAATTAGCAAAATTAGTTAAATTAAACTAACTTGTTATTATTAAAATAACTAACCTAAAATCCCCACCGATCTTACGTTCCGATTTTAGTTGCAGCTCTGCTTTATTTTTATAAAAACCCATATGTTCTGTGATAAAAACTATATATGCTTACCAAATTAATTAAATGTGAGGGTACTGTTTTAAGATTTGTAGATAAATAATTATTTACAACTTTGTTTACCTACTCTTCTTTAGTACCTAAGTCAATATTTTTTAAAATTATTTCTTTAGGCTCCATTATTACAATTTTTCTATGCAGGTAACAAAAACTGCAAAACCATAACTTTTTTTAACCAGTTTATTAATTAAAGTTAATTTACCAGCAAAAAAATTTATCCAAATTAACAAAAGCTGTGGTTAATTTAAAAAAAAAAGTTATATCAGAAGTTAAACTAAACCTAAATAGGTATAACCATTTTCAAAGGTTAAAATTAGAAGTTAATATAACGTTATGTAAAATAACCTACTTTTTAACTTATAAGTAATATTACTAACTAGTTAAATATTTGGTTTATTTATAGTCAATTTAAACTCTTAAAATAACCTTAATTTATCTATTTATAGTTAAATTTAGATTATTTTAAGAGTTTAAATTGACTATAAATAAACTAAATATTTAATTATTTAGTAATATTACCAATAGCTTTTTTTAGTTTAAATTGACCATAAATAAACTAAATATTAAACGAGTTAGTAATATTACCAATAGCTTTTTTTTATTACTTATATTATACCAAAAAATAACCTTTGAATTTACCTTAAGGTTAAAGCAACCGGTTGGTAAATTTTTGGTTATTTTTTAGTTCATAGTAATCTTAAAAAAATGTTAATGGTTGAATACAACTAATTGGTTAAAAAAAAATTTAAAAAAACGTTATTTTACTGAGATTTTGGTTAATTTACTTATAATTCTAGTTATTTAACCAGTTTTGTTACTTGGTATCCGGGTATGATCTGAATTTGATTATTCCAGATGAAGTAGCAAAATTTAGAAGCACACAGAAAAAATAAAACTCAATAAACGCCAACGTCAAGGTCAATGTTGTATTTAAAATCATACAATTTCTAATAAAACCTCACGGGTTACTTTGACAACTGCAATGGTTATTTTTGTCAAGTATAACCAAACAAATTTGGGATTTTTACTGCAGAGAGAGTCTTCCTACTACCCTCCATAGGTGAAATAATAATAGATATGTTTAAAAGAGAGAGAGAGACAGGTGTGAACATGATTTGTGTTTTTTTTTTTAATTTTTTATTTAATAATCATTATTTAATTAAGTGTTGGATTATTTGATGTTAGTTGATTTATTTAACATTAACACCAAATAATAATAATTTAGGAGGGTCTGTCGGAAAGTTAAGGGAGATGGCGTAATTATATTTTTGATGGTAGAAGCTTGATTATGGTAATCGAGTTTAGAAGTAAACTATTTGAAACAAACAGCTCATAACAGCGTGTCAAAATCCTTTGCACACTTTCTGAACAACATCCTGATGTTGTGTCGTATTGTGTTGTGTTGTGGATGTAAAGAATGTAGGAGGAAAAAAAACAAATAATAAAATGATGCGTGATTGATCCGGGCTGCTGCAGCACTAACGGCATGCTCGCGCTGGTGCTGGTATCCTCATTGCAACATTACCATTAACCATATAGGACGAAATAACCAATATATACACGGCCAGACAGATAAACCTACAAGCTTTAACCTGATCAGATAAATTGTATGTACAGATAGATTCGGGTTAAAACTTGGGGGTGTCGTGTGACCTTGTGCAATATTTTTGTGGTGTCGTGTGCAATATATACAAATTACCACCGAGTACGAATACAATCAGGTACAGACAGGTACAGTTAATACAGTTACACCCATCATCCAATACTCGACATGACTGGCAGGTCGCGACTCACCATTTTATAATCGTCTATTTTACTGATTGACCGTAGAAAGATGTTGATATTAACATTTGTCGGCCCGTCTCCTACTACTGCGTGTGAAAAGAACATAAGCACAAATCAGTTTCAATTCATAATGATTTTACTTGGTAGACCTTGATAGAACAATGTCTTCCCACTAATCAAGCAGATTCATGAGAAGGGGCATGATGATTGCATGGAGGAAATCATGAAATATTTCAAGTTATAGAGCTTGGGGTAACGCTGCCAATCACATCTCGCATTGGCATTACCGCAGCCACCCTAGCTCTCCCCTTAGGTAGACCGTCCCTGGTTTTTTTTAATAATAAAAACTCACTATGCCAGTGGTGGCGAACCATATCTCTAAGGTTTAAGGTTGAGGGCAGTATTTTTTTGGTGGCTTTCTTCTTTGTCGCAAACAATACGCTTATTGGTCAAAATTACAAAGGTGTATAAAAAATCATTGAATTTTGAACGTGAAATATGTTATTTCAGTTTTATGGCATGGACTTTAAAAGTCAAGCAAATATTGATATGACCGTAAGGTTGACAAGTAAGCGATGGTCATTTGGACGTAATAAAGTTTATTTTGATAATGTGTTTTGGTTGTTCATGGTTATTTCATAGTATATAAATCTGGAAAAGTCATTGATCCAGATAGTATTTATAAGAAGCAAATGATGGTTTTAAAAGCGAATGATCATTAAATAATAAATTGGAAAAAGACAGTTATAAATGAGCTAACAATAAAAAAGGTTCGCGACCACTGTACTATATACTATCATTACCATTTACCATTACCATATAAACTACACAAACAGATTGATTGGATCATTCCCTTCTGCAACATCCACTTACCATAGTTACGTCATCTATCTTTGATATACTTCTCACAAATATGTTGACCCTGACAATAGCGGGACCATCTAGCGGTTAAAACAAAACGGCTTAAATTAGTTAGGATTGCTTGATGCTTTTTGATTTTAATGTTTGTTAAATGCTTTTGCATTGGCTGGCAATGAGGCACCTGCACCACTGCATCTGCCCATACGGATTTCAAAATTAACATTTTTAAATCAAATTTTCCTTATACTATAGTATAGGATATGTACATATATATAGTATCTAACTATCTTCCCGACGCGGGTCAACCAATTTACTGCCGCTTAAAAGGCATTTAATTCAGCAAATCAAACGCTATCGGCTATCCTACAACATGTACATCTCCAGTAAAATTACCAATATCTCACTCTCCAATGTCCAATTTTACAGCATTCATTTTTACAATCGCCCTTCAATTTTGAAAAACCATTTATACCTCCAGGAACCCCCCCAGCTCAAAACTAAAACGATCAAATTTCCAATTCGATGTCAGCAGTCCTTCTTCCTTCGATGAAAGTGCACCATTTTCAAATTTTTCCAAATCAATATGAAATATGTTTTAAATCTTTTTTTTTACCGAAAAAATCAAAATAGGTTGTAGAGCATTTTACGGCGAGCGAACAACAAAAATATCATGTTATACCAAATTTGGGGAAAAGCCATCAGAATAAAATTTCATATAAAAATCATTTTCCAATTTTTTTTATGAATACCAAATCACCAAAACACCAGAAACCGACCCCAGAATTACTACATCACGATAGACAATTATTAGAAACTGTAACTGAGTTACGCTTCGCTTCTGAAGATGCCAACATCGTTGGAGAAAAGTACTTTAAGCACTTTGTGTTTTGTTTTGGTGTTGGGGAATATTTCTAATATTTGTTTAACATATCATCAAAGTTGTCCTTTTTCAAGTAACATCACGATAGGTTTTCAAAAATGTCAATTTTCTTTCCCTTGAAGATCCTTTCAATTTCAAAAAACATGGATTCGAAGTTTTGATCATAAATTTCAACTAAGGATTTTTTGAGAGGAAAAATTCTATTGACTTTGAAGAGGAAGAGAAGGTAGTACTTTTATTATATGTTAAACAAATATTAGAAATATTTCCCAACACCAAAACAAAACTGAGTTACACTTCGCTTCTGAAGATGCCAACATCTTTGGCGAAAAGTACTTTAAGCACTTTGTGTTTTGTTTTGGTGTTGGGGAATATTTCCAATATTTGTTTAACATATCACCAAAGTTGTCCTTTTTCAAGTAACATCACGATAGGTTTTCAAAAATATCAATTTTATTCCCCTTGAAGATCCTTTCAATATCAGAAAATTTGATTCAATGTTTCGATCATAAATTTCAACTGAGGATTTTTTGAGAGGAAAAATTCAATTGACTTTGAAGAGGAAGAGAAGGTAATACTTTTAGATGGAGTTTGGTAAAAAAACAATATTTCATGTTGTTACTTGAAAAAGGACAACTTTGGTGATATGTTTAACAAATATTAGAAATATTTCCCGACACCAAAACAAAACTGAGTTACACTTCGCTTCTAAAGATGCCAACATCGTTGGAGAAAAGTACTTTAAGCACTTTGTGTTTTGTTTTGGTGTTGGGGAATATTTCCAATATTTGTTTAACATATCACCAAAGTTGTCCTTTTTCAAGTAACATCACAATAGGTTTTCAACAAAATCAATTTTCTTCCCCTTGAAGATCCTTTCAATATCAAAAAAAATTAATTCATAGTTTTGATCATAAATTTCAACTAAGGATTTTTTTAGAGGAAAAATTCAATTGACTTTGAAGAGGAAGAGAAGGTAGTACTTTTAGATGGAGTTTAATGAAAAAACAATATTTCATGTTGTTACTTAATAAAGGACAACTTTGGTGATATGTTAAACAAATATTAGAAATATTTCCCAACACCAAGTTACACTTCGCTTCTGAAGATGCCAACATCGTTGGCGAAAAGTACTTTAGGCACTTTGTGTTTTGTTTTGGTGTTGGTGAATATTTCTAATATTTGTTTGATTTCATGATGTAACAAAACTCGTTTTTGAGTTTGAGCTCTGATTCAGACTCAGCAAGACTAAAACTAAAGTTAATCCTTGATGTTTAGTGATGAAAAGTGCTTTATTTTGGAGATACATGGTGAAATATCCAAAGTGGTTTCAAAGTTTGTTTAACCCAACCCTTCAGGATGCAGTATATGAAGAAAAAAGTTGAATGAAAAGAGAATAAATTTTTGTTGTAGACTTGTCGTGAAATGCCCTTGTGTGTGAAAGACACTGTTATTTTGTTAAAATTATGTGATGTTTAGTATTTTTTATTACGTGATTAGTTAAGCTCAGTTATTTGGGTAATTTTACTGGAGTGAAGCAAACTGGGATTGAATGCAAATAGCGGGAAGCACTCAACACCAAAAAAACCAAAACCTTGAATTGCAGCCGTCGTCCCATAATTGTAATAAGTTAAACAGCTTGCTACTCGTCTATCCCATGCTTATAGTGTAGCACGTGGGGGCAAAAAAGGCACCACAAACCACATCTCAAACCCAGTTGTAATTGAAAAAGTAAGTGTGGGTGTAACGTGTGTTGTTTGGATAAATATTGTTAAATAAGTGGGTGTGAGACATGTCAGGTTTGCCAAAATGCCACGTGGAGTACCTCTACACTAGCCTACAAAACAGTGTGGTCCTCCACTTACCATCTTGATGTCGCTAATGGTCGCAATGCTGCGGACAAACAGGTTTACTCGGACAATGGCTGGCCCATCTGGAGTGATGGACAATGTATTACATTTACATTTTATATGTACAACAAGCGTAAACGTCTTTTAGAGATATAATCATATAATCCTGATTTTGGTCGCCTGTATTGTTTTAGCAAAAAAGCTCTCTTAGCCTAAGAAGAACACTCACCTGTACCGTTCACTCCTGATGGCCGAATTCTGGCATCATACCGTCCCGGACCCAAAATCTGATCGAGAACCTCTTTTTCCTTCTCTCGGAAGTTTATTTTCACGTTTGTGCACCTAAACATTCATTAAACTTAAACATGAAAACACTTAACCTATAAGACTTACATCGACATGTGCATCATATGCAGTATAACTACGAATAAGGTGTGCGTATACATGATTTTAGCTTAAATCGTTTACTAAGTATTAATTTTAAACTTCACATAAACCATTTAGACGACTTTTTCATTCAAACTTCAGCCAGAACTGCGCCGCTCAAGCCTACATAAAGCGGAGCCGTGTGCACTCTCCAAAGCTTCGCAACCGAATAATACTGTTCGCGATTTCGGTTTTAATCGCGAACAGTTTGAAAACTCGTACAAGTTGGGACAGGACTGTACACCAAGAGGCGCTCTATTGATCGAGGACTCGCGCACCAAAACAGCTCCATGCGTGTATGCTCCCAACGCGCAGTGATTTGTAATCAAGTATCAATAGTTAGTATGAGGAAATCTTCATTCATCAACATTTTTAACTAGCATTATTGATAAACACGTACACTTTTCTAAGAGGCCAGAAAACAGTCAAAACCTATTTTCATTCCATATATATAGACTAATTAATTTAAAAATAGATTCGCTTTTTTCTTGTGATGAACCTACATTATTTCCCAACAAATTGTGTTTTAAAATACAGCATTGTTTTTCTTAAATGTAATTTAACCAAAATAGATATCCTCCTGAAATTCGGTTGGCTCAAAACTTGACGACGTCATAGCTACGTCACCAGCTAACCTGGATTCTTTCGCCCGTCAATACCTGGGTACATGCATTTTCAGGTGATTTAATTTTGATTTTGACTGTGCAAGTACAAATAAAAAATCAGTATCAGTGTTTTTGTATGGTTATCATGGTCAAAGAGTATCTAACAACGCCCAACATCATTAACTTCAGTAATTGGTTCGGATACATAAATAAATCAAACAACGCGTAATAATTTCATAAAAAACTCCTTTCAAGTGCCTGTATCAAAGGATATTTTTATTTAACGATTCTCTGAAAAATTTACAAACGTAAAATGCCAAGCAGTTTTTGAAAGGAAATTTTCATTTCATCTTTGTGTACCTCTGTAAATTGCTTTACCTCGGGCTCTGAAACTACTTTTTTTTTGCAAGTGTAATGAACTTTTTGTCACTGTTTTTTATTTTAATAATGCATTTAAGTTGCTTTCTTTTTTTGTTTTTTAGCCCCAAAAGAAAAATAAGGAAAATTTTTTGAAGTATATTCATTAAAATTGTAACATTTATAAAACTATCATAACATGTTTTTATTTATAATTGTTTCAGCATTAATAACAAGTGCTACGTCGTACTAAATATTTATTCAACCATATTATTCCTGCTCATTTTTAACTCCATCGCCAATTTGTAGCCCAGTTCGGGTCTTCTGTCTCTGCCTTCAACCATCGCTTTCACTTGATTTGAGTTTACTATAACGCCATTATTTTTAATGACGGTGTTTTTTGTTTTCTCTATGTCGAGCAAATCAACACCTCTGCTACAATCGTCTAGCAGTATTGTCCTATAGCCTATTGCCAAAGCATCCACAGCAGTGGCACCTATAATAAAAAAAAACGCAACAACAATAAAAATTGATAGCAATTTTTTTCTTACCAACGCATACGTCGTAAGCAAGGCCGCAGATATAAATGTCAGTAGCATTTTTCATTCGCAATTGAGCGCATAGAGTTGTATCTGTCATTTTTTTATTGTCCCAAAACACAGAATAGGAATCAACGTCAGGATTTGTGCCTTTATACACTTTTATAGCACTATCCAGTACCTAAAATATATATTTTTATCCGTGAATAAACTCTTTGCCTAAAAAAATTGGGAGAAGGCGAATTTAATAACATTTTAAATTGGTAAAAAGTGAGGTTAACCATTTGACAGATGTTAGATTTTATTAATTTATTTTGAAAAATCATTTAATAATCTACTTATTGGGTAGATAAAGTATATTCGAGATTATGCGCATTATTCATTCAAGTAGCACAACTGGTTAATTTAACGTTAAATTTAATTTATTTTTAAGTAAAATTAACCTTAAATTATTTAGTAAGTTTAGTAAGTTATTTTGTAATAAGTGTGGAAATCAATAATGGTTAAATTAACCTTATGTTAGTAAAATTTAACTTCTTGGTTAGTGTACCTTTTGGTTAAAAAGAAGGTAATATTTGGTAGTTTTTGGTTTATTTTACTCTTTTTTGTCTACCTTTTAACTCTATACCTATCGGTAATTTATAACTCTTTGGTTTTGGTTTAAATTCGGTTGATGTAATAGGTACCTACATTTTGTGATACCAAAAAGTAATTACTTTTTTATTAATAAACCAAAATATGTCTAAAAAATAACTAGTCTTAACCATTTTCAAAGGTTTAAATTGACTATATATATATTTATAAATAAACCAAATATTTAACTAGTCAATAATAAATATTACCAATAGGTTTCTTCTAACTTAATTTAGCTTAAGGTTATAGAAACCGGTTTGTAAATTTAAAGGGTTATTTTTTAGTTGATAGTAACCTTAAAAAATGTTAATGGTTGAATACAACTAATTGGTTTGTAGCGAGTACCGCTCTGGATCTCGGAATGATGACTCACCGCCGGTGAGTCAGCGCTCGAGCGATCCGGAGCTCGCTGGAATATTCGGGAAGGCACGTAGATACTGAATATATAAGGAACAGCGCAGCATGGAGCAGTCAGTCAAGCTTTGGTACTCGCGGCGAAATAAATAAATAGCTCTAGAGAAATAATTGCATACTTTTAAGTCTTTGTGTAGTTCCGAGCCCCATGTGTCTTGCACGCAATGCCTGGGCCAAAGTCTTTGTTTCTGTGGCGGATTTCCGGCAAAAATGACCGTGTCGTAGGTTTGCGCCGTATCGGCTGTCACCTGGCTAGACGTGTGTATCTCCCTTTCGGCGATATTTTCGATGAAAGACACGTGGTTGCTGGGGTGCCAGTCCAGCGAGTAGAAAGCGGCGTCGAATTGCACTGTGTCCAATAAATGGTTGATTGGCTCGATCACGTCCAATCCGTTTTGCTGCGCCGAACAATTGCTAATGTTCAATGTTCCGCTGATGAAGTCGTTTTGAACGTCGACAATTAAAAATGCCGATATCGGTCGGACAATCTAAAATTAATTTAATTAACAATTATGTTTTGGGTTTGTATAAAAGTTTTAAGGTGGCTTTAGCCAGCATTTCATAATATATTAGTTATACAATAATATAATTTAACGAAAAATTGTACCATTTAAACATTTAGTACATGGTGTTTTTTGAAATCGATGTTGGCAAGACTGTGTTTGACTGAATGATAATTATCGTTACATTACATTTAATGCTGGCTAAATCCACCTTTACATGTGTCCGCATTATTTAGTCGCACCCTGTATATTAATTAAGTTAAAACAAAGAGCGTGTGTCGGGCACAATATTGAAAAGGTCAAATATATAGTTGCTTAGTTTAAGTTTAGTTTAGTTTCCATTAAGGGTTCGCAAAGTTTTAATCGAGTAATAATAAATATAAACTTAATAATGTGAACCAAGTGTTTTAGCTTAATGATAAAGTCCAGGGGTTTACTGTTTTTATCCAATGATTCCAGCAGAAGACAAACTCATCTTTGTCGATTTTTCCATCGTTATTGGTATCGAATACGTTAAAGGTTTCTTTAAGTTTTGCTTCTTCCAAGGAGTATATTTTTCCTTTGTCGTTTCTAAACAAAGCCCTAGTGAGTAGACGAAATTCCTCTATGTCAAGATACCCATCGCTAAAATATAAAATTGTATCTAATGTTTCGTGAATAATGATAAACATTATAAATTCCCTGCCTAACAACGGGAATAATGAACTCATTATTCACGTTGTTAGGCTTCAGTGATTGGCCGATTTCAATATTCACTGTGATTTGAACCAATCGGGTTTTAAATTGGGAAAAGGCGATAAAAGGCGTGTATTTTATTCGTTTAATAAAAACGAGTGTCTAGAGAAGTTTATAAAACGAGTTGCATAATAGTATATTATGTATCAAGTTTGATAAACGCCATTTTATACACGAATTTAATTTAGGCACGAGCGAGCTTGCGAGCGAGTGCTTAAATTAATGAATCTGTGTGTCACCGTCAAATGTCAAATTTGTATATTTTATAAACACAATTATAAAGGTTATAAATCGAAATGTATTTCTTAAAAATTGACAGTTTTTCACAGTGAAAGTAAAGAAAATGTTTTATGAGCACTTTACAGTGGAGTCCGTGCCTGAATTTAAGTTATAATTTACTGCCGGCGAAATTACAATGTTAATTACAATGTTAATATAAACTTTTCAAATGTTGGCGTTGAGAAACTATTTAATACTTTTGTATTTTTGTATTGAGATAATAAAATAATTTTCACATTTAGTATTATTTTACAAGAAAGGCAATTTATTTTAACGATTGTATGACATTTGACAACTGTCAACTAACTTAAAACTTCAGCCCGTGACTAAAAACCTGTTGCTAACTTCAGCCCGTGACTAAAGCGCCATAAAGCCACAACTTGTCAATGTGTATTTAAAAGGTCACTTAGTGTCATGAAAACATGTACGATAAAGGGCGTTTTAAAGGTGGGAGTAGAAAAAAGAATTTAAAGCCAATTTTATTTATTAAACATTTGACATCTGTCAACAGATTTAAACTTCAGCCCGTGACTAAAATGCAGAAAAACCACTATTGTTAACTTCAGCCCGTGACTAAAACGCCACAGCTCGTCAATGTGGGAATAGATAAAAAAAATTTAAACATGACAATATAAAAATTTTAGTTGCAAATCTACGCGGTATAAACAAAGTCACCAAAGTTTACGATATATGTACATAGGTACACGTTCTCTAATTGATTTTTTTAAAGCCATACTATGCCTCGATCCCCTTTTGAAGTTTGAAAAACAACTTTTTTTCTTGTTTTTCGTTTTTGTTCTGTTTTTAAAATTAAATTTACTTGAAAGTATTGAAAGGAAATTTACCGCGAATATGAAAGGCTTTACAAAAAGTGTAAAACAAAAATCTTGTATGTGTCATTTTGTTTCGCTAAATTAATTTACTCCAGCTAAATTATACCTACGTTAAAAGGAAAACAAAATAAAACCATTTATATTTTTAGGGCGGTCCTCAATTGTATAAAGGAAAAAACATATTTTTAAATGCCTAGTAACTAAGCCCTAGTTAAGGTGAAAATTTGAAAATTATTAGAATATATAGAAGTGATCTCGAAGATTTGGTTTTTCTAATTCATACATTTTACTTAAGTGTTAAAATCCAAATAAGTAAATAAGGCATAATTATTTTCTTCGTCTTAATGTAAGTGCAAATCTAAGTTGCTTAGGCAACTAACTTAACATTCGATTGGCTTTTATATCTTATGCAAATAAATGCCTCTATTGGGTATATAAAAAAAAGATTTAAAATTAGCTTGTAAAGCTCGATTAACATTGTTATGAAAGTATTAATAAATAGAGTGCATTAAATAAAGTGTTTAAAAGCTTTGTAATGAAAAGGTTTATATGCGTGCCCGTATTTGGTGTTAGAAATGTCATTTACCTGTTTTTGTCAAAGGCTTGAAAACACGCGTCCATATTACACATAAAATAACATAAAATCAAAATCGATGTTCCATGTTCTTAATAGCTGTGTGTTTGGTTTGGAAATGGTGATATTGCAGCATTTTAAAATTGAAAATCTATCCGCACCTACCCGTACCTGGTACGGGAAAATACTTTACCTAGGGGGTTAGTGTGTAACATTTAACACAATTGTGCGCTTTGCACCAATACCTTGGTTTAATGGGATTTTTTCTGTTTTTAGAATTACCTACGTTTTTGTTTGGACTAGGTATTATTGAAACATTATTATATCAGTTTTATACCGAAATCCTAGTTCGGGAGAAAAATTCTATGCTTAATATTTAGACATTTCATTTTGATTCCAGAAGTTTATTGTTTATTTTATAATATGTACCTATAAAAGATTAATTATCCAAATTTATAAATTTATAGAATGCATTTACATTTAAAAATATATTTTATTTTTTATACATCATAAAAAATAAATGTTCCTCATATTGGGAGAAAAACAATGTTTTTTTAGAATAACTGTATTTTATTATTATTTAACTATTAACTAGAGTTGTTTAACAAGCCGTAGCTACTTACCACCTATTCTTTCAAAAAATTTAATGCATTCTATAAATTTAGATAATTAATCTTGTATATATTTTAGATTCTTAAAACTTTAACACCATGTATGTATATCCCATAAAAAGACAATTGTCTTTTATGAATATTAATATTCAGACAGGTTTGTAAGATCTTTTTTAAATAACTAAATCCACTGGTAAAGTCTCGCTACCAAAACCTGTGTAATGCACAAAAATAAAAAGAACTAAAGTACCTACCTATTTCTGCTGATTTCATATTCGACTACAAATCAAAGGTGAAAAATTTAAATTTTAAAATAAATAAAAGTTTTACTAATTGATATTATAAAAATCCTTAAATCTACAAATTGTAAATTACAATACAGACGAATTTTCTATAAAAACGAAAAACATTATAATAAAATGAACATCACACAACCTACATTTTAACCAGATGTAATCTGGGTTGCATAACACTAAAATAAAAGGTAACATGGGTTTTGCCATAGATTAGATCAGGGTGGATTAGATAAAGGTTTTTGCACATACTTCCAGTATGTGGGTTTTTGCGTCTTTGTGGATGGGACATTTGGACTACTGTCAGATTGTCAGTGGCAGTGTCAGAAAATGACTATTTGAGGTTATGTGATACATTGTCATTAAAACACTGTATTTATAACATTTAAGGATAACTAAGTAATTACATGATAATTTAAATGAAATTTCAAATATTATATATTATTGAAGCAATATAAATTTAGCTCCTCAATGGTTAAAAATATATATAATTAATATATAATAGATTATACTAAATAATAATTATTAATAAATAGGTATATAATAGACAATAGAAATAATAATAAATATATAATAGATTATACCTAGCCAAACTATTAAAATGGAATTAAAATTCAAAAGATTTTTAAGATAAGATTGGTATTATCTTGTTGCTAAGTAGTTGTGCAAAAATAAAGGTAAGCTTAACCAAACTTGAATTAAAGAATGATTTAATTTTTAAATTTACCCAAATATTGGACACTAAAAATTATAATAGGTACCTACCTAATTAATAATAAATAAAAATACATATCTATCCTTATTATATTATATATTAATGGATAAATGGTTAACTCCTATACCTATATTATAAAATATATTTTCTTTTAAAATAGCTGCACAAATTAGGTCAAGGTTTTATTTAATAACTACCTTTAATCATTGTTTTAAGATGCTTTATTTAAAGCATAACCTATTTTTTAAATTAGTCATGGCTTTTCAGCGGTAATTTAAATTAAGTTTGCTTAAATCTTGAGTAAATATGCATACACAATCCTTACTTAAGAGAGCACTTATCCAAGTGTTATTTAATAGTTTAAAAATAAATAAAGGTTAAATTTGTTGACATATCATATGACCCAGTAAGTTTGTAAGTAATTTTTATTAGAAAACGCAGCGTTGGATATGTATTTGATAAAAATAGCAAAAATTATTTGAAGAAGTGTTTTAAGTAAAATGTCTGTTGTTGGGGGTGTCCTAAAGCCATTTTTTCGACACGTCACACACGTAAACAAAACAACAAATTCTAACCTATTATTTAATATATCAAGATTATGGTTGTCTAATATAAATGTTAATTTTAAGCACAAAATGCCAAAGAATCAAGAAAAGGGAAACTTTAAATTCCTTGATTATGACTGTATTGGGTTTGACTTGGACAACACCCTTGCCAGGTACAAAGTGGGGGCTATGATCGAAATGGAGTATGATATAGTTGCAAAGTTCCTGGTATTTAAAAAAGGGTACTCCGAAAAACACTTGCTTAAGCCTTTAGACCACAATTTTATAATGAAGGGACTTATCATAGATGACGAGAATGGTAACATAGTGCGATTAGGGCCTGATGGGAAAATTCTGCAAGCTAGCCATGGTTCAAAGCTATTAAACGACGATCAAATTTTAAAGTACTACCCTGACAGACACTGGGAGCCCACCGATTTGTTCACCAAAGATCCATTATGTACGTGGAATGGTGAACATGCAACTAAAATGAGGGCTTTGTTGGATTATTTTGATATTATCGCCAGCATTGTTTTTGCCAGAGCTGTAGACACAGTGGATGAAGAAAAAGGCGTCCATAAACATTACAATGTTTACGAGGATATAGTTGCTGCCCTGCAAGATATGTTCGACAGGGAACACTTTGGACAAAATAAGGGTGATTATTTTCGATTGATCAAAGACAATCCAGAGAAGTACTACTACAAGTGCAGCAATGATTTGTTGAACTGGCTTCAAGAACTGAAAAAACGCGGGAAAGTGCTGTTTTTAATCACTGGCTCGCATACGGATTTCGCTAACCATACAGCAAGCAATACACTGGGTGAGAACTGGAAAGACTTATTCGACATTATCGTTTGTTTTGCCAAAAAACCTGGATTTTTCACTATGAACCGAGACTTTCTGGGAGTGGACGGTTTGGATGAGAAGATGCCTGTGCCCTTCGAGAAACTCCAAGCTGGCGAGATGTACACGCACGGCAACTGGAAAGATTTGCATGCTTTTCTGCTGTCGATTTGCGATAAAGAGGACCCGAAGTTTGTTTATGTCGGGGACAATCTGGTTCAGGATGTGTACACACCTCACGTGCACTCTCAATGTGATACGGTGGCAGTTTGCGAAGAACTCGAAGCTGAAGGCGTTCATGGACACGAGCCCTGGCATCCGGACGAGCAGTTTTTGGTGTCGACAGTGTGGGGCTCGTATTTCCATTGCAATAAGAACAATTCCGCCACCAATTGGTATCATATGATGAAGACTCATTCAAAGCTGTGTGTTCCAAGTCTGGAGTATGTTGCCACATACCCTATAGATTATGTATTTAAAACGCAAATTTAGATTTTCCATGTTGGAAATGTTTTTTGTCACGTGATGAAGTTTGTTTCCCAAAAGACATTTTCAATTCTACAGCATTTAAAATGTTATGTTACCATGTTGTTATCTGTTTAAATTATTTAGGAAAACGTTTTGTTACCACTTAATATTTATTTCAAATACATTTTTAAAGGACGCATAATTTTTTTTAATAAAACACCCCTCTAAATATAACCATAATATATTTCTTTAATGTAGTATAACATCATAAACTTGAATAAAATCTTAAGTTTGTTGTGTTTTATTGTCATAAGTTTCAATAATACTAATTACTAACACAATTCAATAGCAGTGGCAATACCCATGCCACCTCCAATGCACAAAGCGGCAACTCCTTTTTTCTTTCCCAACCGCCTCAAATTGTATATAAGGGTGACCAAAACCCTTGTTCCAGAACATCCAATCGGATGTCCAAGCGCTATAGCTCCACCTGTAACATTCACCTTGCTCGCATCAACTCCCAACTCGTCCACAACAATAATGCTTTGCGCGGCAAAAGCCTCGTTCAACTCGTACAAATCCACATCGTCTTTACTCCAACCCACCTTGGCCAACTAAAAAAAAATCAACATTTTAGTGCGCATACTGTGGAAGTTATACTGCGCATCACATACCACTTTTCTGACGGACTCGATGGGCCCGGTTCCCATGCACAACGGCTCAACCCCGACCTCGGCGAACCCCAAAATTCTCGCCAAAGGCTTCAAATTCTTCTCTTTGACTGCGCCATCGCTGGCCAATAGAACGGCGGCCGCGCCGTCGTTCAAACCGGAAGCATTTCCGGCGGTGACGCTTCCGGTGCCGGGTTCGAAGCACGGTCTCAGCGTTGCCAATTTGGCGGCGGTGGTGCCGAATTTCGGGTACTCGTCTTTTTCGATGGAGCCCAGCTTTTTGTCGGGGACAGCGATTATTTCCTCCTTGAAATAACCTTTGCTGATGGCCTCCTCGGTTTTGTTTTGCGATAGGGCCGCGTAAGCGTCTTGCGCCTCTCTGGTTATGCCGTACTTTTTCACCAAATGCTCAGCTAGAATTTTTGGGATTTATTTAACTAAAGTCTATTTAAATCCAAGCTGAACTAAACAAAAACGCCCAGACGCGTGATAACTCGTTCCTATTGGTCGATTCTGATGGTGTGACTCGGATTGTGAGCTCGTATTGGTCGATTCGGAGGATTGTATTTACATTTAGTCCAGCTTGGATTTGAATAGACTTTAGCGAAATACTTAAAAGTGAATCTAGTAGTTTTTTTAAATCAACGATTTAAATCAAGTGATTTTTAATTTTAATCAATGATTTAAATCATTTTAAAAAAAGTTTCTAAAATCTAAAAAAGATTTAAAACTAAAGCACAATAATATCTTCACACTTTTAAATAAATTCATATGCATAGAAAAACTGCTTATTTTGTTAAATAAAATAATAAAGGAATATACAATATATGACAGTTGCGGACGTTGGTTCATTTGTTTATAAAGTAGTGCCAATATAATATTATTATGGTCAAGTTATTTTTAGTATTTTTTTAATAGTAGACTTTATTAAAAAAAGCTTATAATTTTAAATATTTTAGGTCATGAAAAGTGTTTTCCTCGCTGGGAAATTTAAAAAGGTCATATCCACATCACAATCTTCAAAATTATCGTAATTAAAATTTAAAAAATCATTGATTTTTAATTTTATTTAAATCATGATTTTTTCGAACCCTGGTATTTTGTAATATACGTTTTGTTAAAAAATAAAAAAATTGATTACATTTTTATAAAGAAATAATCCATAGAGTTAATGAAATGAACAATTTTTTAGCCATTATAACAAAATGCAACAAAAGGAAAAAACTGTTTACTGAGACCAGAAATTAGCAAAAAGAAACTTTTAAAATTAAATTGCCTACAAAACTGTGCTATTTATTATAACAAGAGAGGGGTCCATATTACCAGCACAAATTTAAAATGTTATTACTTGTATTTCCCATGTGAACATTATGGAAAGCATCAGTTAATCCATCAAGAAGAAGAGTATCAGCAAGGCTTAAATTTCCCATTTTGGCGCTCCTAGTGTAGATACAATGTTGTGATCTAGTCATGCTTTCTTGCCCTCCAGCAACAATAATGTTATAGTCTTCATTTTTAATTGCTTGATAAGCTAGAAATACCGACCTGAAAACAAAGGTATATTGATAAGAAAGGTATAAAAAGACAGCCTTGAGGTACTGATAAAAGTAACGAAGATAAAGCTTACTTTAATCCAGACCCACAAAGCATGTTTATTGTATATGCAGGTGTTGCATAAGGTATTTTAGCCCCCACAGCAGCTTGTCTTGCAGGATTTTGCCCCTGGCCTGTAGTTAGCACCTAAAAATAACTTTATTAGCCTTAATATTTTTATAATGGAACAAATTTTCATACATGACCCATAACAACTTGTTCAACATTCTCAGGTGATAAACTTGATCGCCTAATCGTCTCTGTTATAGCTATGGTCCCCAAGTCAACAGCAGAGTATTTCTCAAATTGACCCATAAAACTGCCTAAAATTGAAGAAAATTACACTACACAAAAACAATATTTTAATTCATAAATTCTTACCAATGGGTGTTCTACATCCAGAAATTATATAAACTTCAGGCATTTTTCCAGATTTCTTCTACTAAAAATATATAAATACTTGTGTGCCTTTAATACTGACTTCTCATACTACTACTAAAGTTAAAAAGTGGGCTAAAACTGTATAAGCGACGTGTTTAACACTTTCCCACCTCTTTTTTAATAATATTCATCCATTCAATTAGTCACTCATGGTTATGTTAATTTTTGATGACCCCAAAGATGCTCCTATAGAAACCACTAAATACTGCCACTTAAATAAACATAACTACTATTTTGGAAACGTTTATTTATTCATTGTAAACATTTAAATTTTGCGAATCTTGGGTTAGAAATTTGTCATTTTTGACGTTTATGCTATCCTGGTTGCATATATTACTCCTATTTTCTTTTAATGGGTGTATTCATAAGTGAATAGCGTGCACTAAGATTTTTGACCAAACAAATTTAACAGTATGTTTTTTTTCATACAAGAAATGAATTCATTGAAATTATAAATAAATTTAAAATTGTATTAATATATATGCGTCATCAGAATTGAATTTGTATGGATTTCAGTCATAACATAGTGTACTCTAGGGTAGTTAGTGGGGATGCAACAGTTTATTTTTTGACCAGTAATGCATAATATTTTATGTAAATAAAAAATGTAATTTCTATAAATGGTCTGTTTTTTTTACAAAAAAGAAAATTTGGTGGAAATTGACTTTGACAGGTTGCGCGCCATCTGTGGGTGATTTTTGATTGAAAGATGGGTGTTTTGTGCATGCAACTTCACGTTACAAGTGATTCCAAGATTATGTCGCTGTTTTAAGTGGTGTATTCGTGAGTGTGAGCCAAAATGGCAGAAAATGGACGTGATATTTCCGAACAGCCTAAAACAGCAGGTTAGAATTGTTTATTTTGTGTTTAGCAGTATGCTTTTTAGCGTTTGATGGTCTAGTTCTTGATATAGTTTTATTTGTTGTTTGTCTGTGCGATTTAAAGTTATATAAGTTAAAAAAAGTCCACCATCTGTGGTCTTTTCAGTGTAAATTATTAGTAAACGTTGGTTTTAGTTAAAAATCGAGGCTGTTAATATTTGCCTTGGGATTGTCTGTTTAGGGAACTTGGCTGGGTGTCGTAAATTTTGATGAACTTGAGATATTTGTCGAATAAATTCGGTGTAATTGTAGCTACAAAGTATTAATACTCCGGCATTTGAATCATACAAACCAAATGTCAAAAATTAATCAATTGATTCTAAGTATTATTTTAGTGGTCAGTTACAGTATACGGTAATTTGTGTTTTGGACTTGTGTGTTGTCACACACGTAAAACTTGTAGGTTAGTTTGTTTGGATTTTTACTACGTGTAAAATTGTATCAATCATATTTATTTTTAAACTAATAGGTTTATATCATCTAATTTTATCTTATCATGTTGGTAAGATATTTTAACATGTGTAAAAAGGTAAACCGGTTCTCATATTATTTACATAATTTATTTCATCATATGCATATCTTGTAAAAAATATACATATTTTGTACATTCCAGTCTAAATCTCAGTATTGTCACTATTGTAAGGAAAACTTAAATATTTGTTTGTTATACTTATGCAGTTCTATAAATAACAAGGACCACTGTGACGACAAAAAATGTTGTTCGTTTTTGGGCATATTAATAATTATCTAAAGATAGTGTAAAAAATTCACAAAGATATGGCGTTTATTTACTCGAAACAATTCGTTAAATCTTGTAACACTTAATTATACGTGTAAAAACAAATAAAAGGAATAAAAAACAAATAAATGAACACAATCACAAAATTATTATTGCGTTGATTTCAATAATCTTTGAATTTCTAAAGTCGAATAAGAATTGACATGTTATCGTTGTGCGGGGGAAATTCTCATAAGTAAGAAATTTGTAACGTTTTAACGTCTGCTATACGGGCTTTAAGTTTTTTTTATTTTATGTTTTGATTACTATTGATTTCTCTTATAGGAAATTTGAGTTTCCTATTCCAATACGATCGATCCAATGAATCTGAAGGTAAGATCAAAAAAAAAAATAAGGCACGTAATTTTGTTTGATTTAGAATATAATATAAAGCATGGTGTGCACAACTAACACCTAGACAAATTTATTGTATTTTCCATTTGTAATTTCTTTGAAACAAAGCAAATGTTTAATGTAATAAAATATATATATATATATAACGTATATTTTTGGAAATAATAAGCGTAATTTTGTCTAATAATCATTTTACGCTTTTTAGATCAGTTGTTGAAATTTTAATTATTATAACTTCCGTTTTTGGCACCTGCCGTCAATTGTCGCCAGGGTAAATATATATTATTTAAAATACATTAAGGCAAAATTTACCAAACAAAAAATAAAATTCGTTATCGGACTGAGGAATATTTTAACAATCCGTTAAATAACCGGACAAACTTTGAAAGAATATTATGAAAAAAGCATTATGTTTAAGTGTATAAAATATTTAAGATAGGTAGTTTAAAGAATTTCATGAATACTACGCTAATATTACATTTATACTAAAAAAATGATTTTTTATTTCCTTGTATTTTTTTATTTATCAAAAAAGAGTGTTAATCATAAAACAAATAGTTTTATCTCTATTTAGCTTGTAAGTATTGAATTATTTAAAAAATATAGCAAACGTTGCGTGTGATTCATATTGTAATATTTAAAATCGAAAACCCTTTATTAATTCCCTAAAAAGCCCTCTTTTCTAAAGAGATAATCTTTTAACAAAAGGCTCTTTAAATCTCTTAGGCGTAATACGTTAAACACATGGTATTTTATGCATGTAGACATTTTAAATTTAGAAACATTCTGAATATAGAATAAGGAAAGTACAAAAAGTATTAAATACTTTGGAATTCACGCGACGTATATTTATCGTCTAAAATAAACCCCTGCATTTGGTCTAATAAACACATGCCGAACCTTGACAGTAGGCATTTTTAACATTGAACGCGATTTTTTTGGCCTCTGTCCAGACCAAAATGCACTGGAAAATTGAATTTTTTTGTATTAATTTTATTTAATTCCCAATTATCACGACAACAACAAAAACAATATTAGAAAGTGTCAAAATTAATTGATTAGGTAGATTGTGTTTTTTATTTAATTTAAATTCGTTTGAGCTGAATATGTTTCCTAAAATCAATGAAACATAAACAACAATTTAAGTGATGCAACCAACGTTCAACTAAGTATATTTGATGTGACATTTGCGACCTACTGCGTTGGTAATTAATATTAAAATTTTTATTATGTTATGGGTGCCCACGTTCAGTTTTACCCACCGTTTATTTTCTTGAACTAGAAGTTACATCTATAGAAATTCTACCAATATAAATTATATGTACTTACAGTTAGGTACCATATGCATTTATGGATTTGTTTGAAAAATAAAATAAGGCATCAATATCTTATATTAAAAAAAACAGATATTAATAAAGTAAATAATAATCAAATGCAAATTTAAAATAATATATAAATAATACTAAAAGGAATCGAATAAATATATGTACATATTATAATAAGTAACCTTGAGGAGGTGATGTAGAAATTAGTATATGTGGCAAACCTAAATTCCACAACTAAACGGTTTATTTGAATTGACAAATAAACTGTTAAATATACGTAGGAAACCCTAAAACTTATTGTACCTATTGACATTGGAGAAGAATTTCATTCATTCACGTTTTGTACCACACAATTACGCAAGAATACATTCGGTGGGCGTCAATAATTTTTGAAGAAATATTGAGTTATTAGAATATGAATTCTCCGATCAGGTTTTATTATGTAACGGCCAATTTTACTGGTATGCCGGGTAAACTTTAAACCCTTTTTAACCTTCAAGAGTTTTAGGGCCGTAGAAACGTTGATTTTTTTATATCAACTGATTTAGCATATCAGTGGATATCGGTTTTTTCGCGACATGGCAACGCAGTAGTTTTCTTTAAAAACTGTTGTTTTAATAAATTGGGTAATTATCTTTCAACGTTTATATTTTCCATAAAAAAGTCGATTACGTTGACATTTTAATTAATAATTTTTTTAATTTTTTTTGTGACATTTGCTTTTAACCATAGAAAATAATTTCGCTAATATAAGTCATGGTTTACTAGATTTGTTTTTGGCCAATAAAATCATCTAAAATGTGGATATGCGTAAATCAGTTGATATAAATAAATCAACGTTTCTCCACGCCGCGTTTTTATACTGAAAAAAACTCGCGCGCGCGGAATTGTGCTGAGGCTTAACCGAGTCCGCCTGAGCTATTTATAAAACTTTAATAAGTTTTGTTTAATATTTTCGTGATAGTAGTATAATAGAAAATTGTCTGCGAGTCGAGCGTTTGATTTATTTAATAATTTTAATGTCCGAGAGTGTATAAACAAGAACTAATTGCGTCTTGTACCAGTAATTTGTTATTAATTTGACATTTTTAATACGCACGAGATTCAGAGCATGTCTTACTATCCATTAAGGTGATTGCATATTTATTTCAGTTTTTTTTTTTTCGAAAAAACAACTTTATTAGTATTTATTATAATAATTGGATCCATTTCACCGTTTGAAATTCTACATTTTAAAATAATCGTGATTTTATAAAAAATAATTATTTACCGCCAATAATTTAAGATTTATTCACTACCAAAGTATTGGATTATCTCCTGCTCTGCTTTTTACCTATGTACATATACTGTTACCAAAATGGCCTGTTGGTCTTTGGTCAAGGATTGTAAATCTGCAAAGTTTCTCAACTATCAACAATGTTGCTATTTCTTAATAAGGATTGAAAAACAATTTTCCCGTATAATGTATGCACATTTTTGTGAGTTATTAAACACTTAGTTATGGCCAGGGTCATTATTGAATCATATGCGCAGGTTTGTTTAACAATTTATAAACTTACATTTTATCTATTTGACGAAGCGATCGGCGGTTGCGTTTAGTCGCGTTGTTATTGTGTTTAAGTGCAAATGTGTATCGGTTCGGGCTTGAATGGGGGCCGGCACCATGGCAGCAGAGACTTGTAACACTATCGACTACATCAGAAGCATTCTGGTCAAGTCGTTGTCCAGCGAAAATGTCGCGCAAAGTGATATCATCAAAGTTAGGCAATACGCTAGGAAAAATCAAAACACGCAAAGTTTAGGTACCTACTGCTCTATTTTTTTCATTATGAAATTTATAAAAAATGCTTCATGGTTAAGAAACCTTACACTTAAAAAATAAGTTCTAATATCCAACAAGTAAATAAACAGCAATATTCGTGACTCTACCATTTAATTATTCGTATTTAATTGTTAGTTTAAAATCCATTTTAGGTATTGAACAACATATGCAGATAACCTCAGATCGACCTTAAAAGTCGTTTCATAAATTCTACCAATTACTTTTTACATTTCCGATATTATTATATTTTTGTTTTATTTTACGTTGTACTCATGTCTAATAATAACCCCGATGTGTTTATATTATTACGTGGTTTTATTATTATTGCAAAACGATAGGTATAATTAAAAAATAAACCTATAGGTGGTTCTAAGAAAATAATAAATAAACAAAAATTGGTATTTACATTAATTTAACATTGAGGACGTTGGTGATTAATATGCAATACATATAAAGCTGAAAATGTTATTGTTTCTTTATTTAAAGCCGATGATATAATTCGAATAATTATTTTAATTTCTATTTGAAAGGAAATTTAGAATTTTAATGCTTGGCTAGCCACTTGGCAATACAAATTCCAGATATACATAAAGTAAAACAACTTAAAAGAAATGATAATGCTTGCTATCGCACAGGAAACGTATCATCTATTCGATTTAAATCCGCGTATAGGAAAACAAAAGTATTTCCTCAAAAAAAAAAATATTTAAAAATGTCACGCGAATTCTCGTGCTTTGAACACTAATTACCCGATGTGTTCTATCCATTAGTACTGTTTTCCTAATGATTTTTTTCTTTATTGCTGACGTAATTAAATGCTTTAATTGTAATTGCGAATGGTTAATATGCCAATAATAGTATATTAAAGAACTAATGTATTAAAAAAGTTAATTTTATACCTTGAATTTAATTTGGTCGAATTTTACTTTAGATAGTTGGTATCACAGTCATTGGTTTGACAGTTAATGTCAAAATCGATTCGCCATGCTGTTATAATAAGCGGCTGTTAATATTAAAGAAGAAAAAGGGGATTTTCTTTGGTGTTAAACAAAATTTATTGCCAGAAGTCTCGTAAGTGCTAGAAAAATCATAAAAATATTATAAGCAATATGCGAAATATTGTGCTGTTTAAAGTATAGCCAACCTATGAAACCAAATTTTGGGTGGGACAAAGTATCTCATTGCAGCACCGAAAGCGGTGTTATAATGAAGTCATTATGAACGCAAAATAGATAAAAGCATAATGTTAGAGGAGCGTTTGATTTCTTCCTTGGGTCCAAAACCATATATATGGTTGGTGGTTTGTAATATTACAAACCACCAATTTCTATAAAGTTGATGCTGATTTTTTTTTCTCTTCTGTTTAGTGGATAAGGAATTAAGACTAAGGAACTTGAAGGAACGTCAAAATGAGGAGCGACACAAAAAGCTGGAGGAGATTAGAGCACAAGCGTTGGCTGCACAAAGATACAAGGAGCATCAAGAACAAGAGCGTAGACGTAGGTTGGACGAGCTTCGGGTAAAGGAGGACGCCAGGAGGGCTCAGGTGGAGGAGAGAAAAAAGGCGATCAACGAGGCGGAACGCGACCGTTTGGAGTCGATTTTGAGGAGGAACCACGAGAGAGAGGCGAGGATCGAGGCGAAGAGACGCAACGAGAAGAGCAACATCGTGTTCGCTTTCGGTTCTTCGACGCCGCGCATGCTCGACCCCGTCGATCCGTCCGTGTCGTTTTGGGGCCAAAGGAGGGCCACCTCCACGCAAAACATCCCCCTGGTGTCCTCCTCCCTCACTCGAAGGACTTCGGAAAGGGACTTGGACTTCGGAAACAAGAAGCGCGCGACCTCTGCCGGCGGATTGGAGCGTTCTGGTGAAAGTTAGTATTCTTTTATTTCAGTTCGGGGGTTTTCTTTTTTTTTTTTTTTTTGGTCAGTGATCATGTCGTGATTATATAGTGGCAATTGTGCAGTGATTATTAATGCACCAGTACTGGTAAGATTTGTTTTCTTTTTTTTTTTTCGTTGTGTCTTGTGAAATATAAAACAGAATCCACACTGTGGCTATTAATTTCAAAAAATGTGGAAAAACTTTTCTTAGTAGCATAAATTTAAAAATGGTAGGAAAAATTCGCACAATAGCATTGATACAATAATGGTGGGACCAATTTCAAATTTAAAAAATGGTAGGACAACTTCGCACACTGGTTCAAAATTAAAAAATTTTGCTAAAAATGTGCACAGTAGTTTTATTATAAAAAGTAGTAGGACAAATTCGCACCGTGACATAAATTTAAAAAATGGTAGGACATTTTTTTGGAATATACTTTTTGGTTAATGATGTTACAACGACTTGGTGCTTCAGTGTTTAAGGGATTTTCTAATTCACGAGAATTTTGTTAACCTTGACTGCACAATCTTGTTTGCATATTAAATTGTGCCATGTTGTCTTACCTACCTATCTATTCACAATTAAAACTTAGCGTTAAAAATTCATGCCTAATCTATAATTCAAGGTCAATTAAAAGTATATATTATACAGTGTTGCTCATAATTTTTGGAACCACTGTAAAAAAATCAAACTCTAAAACGCCTTTATTATTCTTTTTGAAATTTTGGATAAAAGTACTTTAACTTATATCTCAGTTTTAAACGTAATACGTGTTCGAGAAAATATTTTTATTTAATAATAAAAAATAATTTTTAGGGAATTTTTTTTAAGTAAATAAAAAATATGCTGTTCAAGACCGTATTTTTGTTAGTATACCCTAAAAATTTTGTACAAATCAAATGAACAGCAACGAAGATATAGCGATTCAAAGTCGTCAAAAATGACCATTTTTCAGCAAAATAATCAAAAAGGTGCCATTTTTACCGACTTTGAAACGCTGTATCTTCGTTACTGTTTGTTTAATTTGTACACAATTTTCAGGGTGTACTAACAAAAATACGGTCTTTAACAGCATATTTTTTATTTACTTAAAAAAATTACCCTAAAAGTTATTATTATTAAATAAAAATATTTTCTTGAAAAACCCTCAAACACGAAAACTGAGATATAAGTTGAAGTATATTTATGCAACATTTCATAAAGAATAATAAAGGCGTTTTAGATTTAGATTTTTTTTACTGTGGTTGCAAAAATTATGGCCAACACTGTATATATTAGTATACCCCTGTATACCTACATGAGGTTTGGTGTTTTTTTAATTCAATTTAATTAATTACCAAGTAGAGTAGAGTGGGTAATGTTCTTTGGGAAATTACGATGTGTTTTATAAGGCCCCACCTAACATTATTTCGGGTAACGCACGCAAACGTTAGGGGAACAATAATGTTATTGATTACTCCAAACGGGAGACAGCGTTGTTACAAAAACAATCCGTTTAAATTAGAAAGTGTTAAGTGTTAATTAATTTTTAAATCGTCCAGGTAAAAAGTAATTTAAATTCACAAAAAACACACAACATTTAAGACAAGATTAAGTAGGTATACTTTTAACTATGTCAGTATATCTGACTCTTATACTATTAATATTTAAACATAAAACATTTTTTCTTTACCTGGGCGACTTTAAATGTCGTCAAAAATTGGTGATGGTTATTTTTTTTTTGTTTGTTTTTTTTTTGTGTGTGAACGCACTGTTTAGGCACATTTTTACAAAAATAAAAGCTCCGCAAACTATGGTACTGTTATCAGAATAATAATAATAAAAAATATAAAAAATGTCTTGGTGATAAGTTTTGTCAAATTTGGGCCTTGTCCTTGGCTTCAGCTAAGGCTTTTCTGCTTTTTGTTGCTGTTTTATAATTACGACATTATTTTCTGAAAATCACCAGTCTGAAGTCGATTGAATTTCATTTGGAATTTGTCGTTCTATTTGTTTGAAGTTCCCGCATTGTGTTATTGATTAAATTCTAGACGAGACTATCTCTCTGAACTAAATTGAGAATTAAAATATTTTATTCATTTTAATTGCTTTAAAAATATTTGTAAGTAATAATGATTCATAAATATTTTCCTTATTTGCTAATAAATGAAACACAATATTGGTATTTTCCCCTTGTGAGTTTTGATAAAAAACAATAGACATGACAAATTAATAGGATGTTGGGTTAAATACCTTTTACATTAGTTATAATTTTTGCAAATTACTTCTTGAATATTGCCCTTTGTTGTTAGACAAAAGCGGTAACAAATATTTTTAATTTATTAATAATATTTATTAAACTTCTGTGCTTAAAATTATTTATAACAGTTTTAATTGTTTAAGAAAGTGGAACGATAAATTAAATAAATGCTGCTATTTATTATACCTCAAATACAGGTCAAAATGTATGGGGGGCTTCTTTTTACAAATTTGGCAACGCAATGTCATTATTATTGAAACGCAAGAAGACTAAATAAAGTAGGAGTACGTTATCGCAGCGTTGCCAACATAACGGTCTCAAAAATGTCCCTAGATTGACATTTTTTCCCCTAGATTCAACTTATTTGAAAAAAAGCAACGATATTCATATTCAAACAAAAGAAATTTTTCAAATAATTCTTTTTTTCTAAAATTTTTTTCAAATAATTCTTTTTTTCCAAAATTAATTACAAAAAATTAAAATAAATTCTATAAAATTCTTTAGTTCGTCTAAAATCGAAATATTTTTCTTAATAAAATATATAAATAAATACAAATTTAATAACTGACATCACTATCACTCAATGTTGTAATATATAAATGAATAGTAATAGTAGGTAAATTTACTACTAAATATTTTTTTGCTTTTGCTAAATAATCTCGTCAATCAAAAATAACCAGTGTTGTTACAAGTAAAAAAATATTTGTACCAGTTTCTAGGGAATTATTGTACCATATTGTACCAACATTAAAAATTGTTCAAAATGGCGGGAAATACAAATTTTAAAATTTATTAAAAAATGCATATTTATTTAAAAATATATAAATTTTAAAGAGAAACCTTTTTAAAAAAGAAAAAACATGGTCTTATGAGTGCTAATCCCATTTTTCATCAACTTACCTGTCCATTATGATTATTATTTATAAAATTTGCTGCCAAGTTTGCAAATTGCAACAATGAGGTTAATAACAAACACATGTATGGCAACTGTCAGCGAAAAACTGCTGCCAACCGTACACCACTGCTGCAAACTGTCGGCGATGTAGTGGTTAAATACACTTTAAGTCACTTAAATTAAGTGTCAATAAGACTAAAGAGATGGCGCTGGCACAAAAATGAAAAATAAATTGAAAAAACAAAAATAAAAAAAACATTTTTTAAAAATTGTACCAAATTTGCCATTGTGGTACCATTGTACCAGATAATTCTCAAATGTACCGAATTTGGTACAATTGTACCAATTGTAACAACACTGAAAATAACCAGATAACTAAATTGAATAATATTTGAATTTAAAATTAGTTCACAATGATTCTTAAAATTTTATTTTAAAAAACCAAAAATTTTCCTAAAATCTGCGTCAATTTACCTATTTCCCTAAAATAGGGAAATTTTCCTAAGGTTGGCAACGCAGCGCTATCGGGCACAGAATTTCTTAGAATTTTCTTCGTAGCTAGTGACATTTGGTACTACCAACTGCAGAATAAATGCCTTAATTAATCGCTATAACTTAATATCAATAGACCTATCTCATAAAACAGACTTTTGGATAGCGCGTGCCTGAAGAAGAGTGGTATCTCTTTCTCTTTTATATAATTAAAAAAAGACGACCTGCCTTTTCACGCACGCGCTATCCAAAAGTCCATTTTATGGGATAGGTCTATTCACGTACGGTAAATATCGCAATCGGAAGAAATTTTGACAGTTTGTTTATGGCTGTCATTGAATTTTAAAATTGAATGGGATCCAACCGGTTATTTTAAAACTACGGTTTAACGGGTTAATCGTTTACCGTATGTAATAACCGGCGACAAATAAATAAATTTGAAAAGAGAAAGCCGGTTTATTTTGGCAATATTGGCAATGCCCTACAGTTGGCTGCACTGATCTACCAGTGGTTGGTTGCCTTGCACCGCTTATATTTATTTTTCTACTCCCACCTTTAAAACGCCCTTTATCGTACATGTTTCCATGACACTAAGTGACCTTTTAAATACACATTGACAAGTTGTGGCTTTATGGCGCTTTAGTCACGGGCTGAAGTTAGTTTTAAGTTAGTTGACAGTTGTCAAATGTCATACAATCGTTAAAATAAAGTGCCTTTCTTGTAAAATAATACTCAATGTGAAAATTATTTTATTATCTCAATACAAAAATACAAAAGTATTAAATAGTTTCTCAACGCCAAGATTTGAAAAGTTTATATGAACATTGTACTGACCTTTTAATTTCGCCGGCAGTAAACTATAACTTAAATTCGGACACGGACTCCACTGTACAGTGCTCATAAAACATTTTCTTTACTTTCACTGTGAAAAACTGTCAATTTTCAAGAAATACATTTCGATTTATAACCTTTATAATTGTGTTTATAAAATAAAAAAATGTGACATTTAACGGTGACACGCAGTTTTCCCTATTGTTTCATAGATGGCGTTCTATACAAATTTTTGATTTAAATCATTTTAAGATTATTATTATTATAAGTATTTGTCGTAGAAAAAGTATAGCATGCACCTCGGTTATAAACTTTTCTATACACTCATTAAAATTCGTGTACATAATGGCGTTTATCAAACTTGATACATAAAATACTATTATATGTAGCGCAAGAAGACTAGAGACATGAGTACAAACTTGCGCACAAACCCAATCAGATTAAGGCCAATCAAAATTTAGTATGGCGTATGACGTTTTCCATTTGTTTCAAATTAAATCGTCCATGGAGAAACTTCATCATTGCAGACACTTTTTGCCTCGTTTTGTACGTGCGGCAATCTGGTAGTCTGTGGTCAAACATGAAATTTATTTTGTTTCAAACAAGTGGTTATTTCGAGGGGTCAACCACCCAAAGGGAAAACGTCCAGGGATTCCCATGTATTCCCATTATATTTTATTGTATTCCTATGTATTTCCATTGTATTCCTATGGTATTCCCCCTCTAAAATGTCCAGGGATTCCCAGGTGTGGGTGACCCCTCGGGTTATTTGAAGGTGGGTTAACTTGACAGGTTATTTTAATTTTTCTATTAATCGATAACCGTTTTTTTTTTCATAACTGCGCATCTTTGTGATAAAATAAAAAAAAAAAACAAATGCGTTAATTGTCATTGTAGCCAAGCTAGTAAAAAAGAACTGGGCTACCGTTCGTGAATTGATTATATAATTCGACATTATTGTCAAAATAGTATAAAGAAGTGATCTTATAGACTATATATTGATATCGACTTCAGACTAGAGTGATGATGATGGTAGGTTTGGATTCGACGATTTTGGCGATATTTTAGAGAATCATTGTTTGAATACAGGTAGTGGGCCGACGACGCCGGCCGGCTGCGCTAGCGGATACACGGGCCGCCGACGCACCGACCTGACGCCGACGATAACACAGAGAGATGCCTCGTTCACGTCCTCCCGCAAATCTTTGAACCAATCACCAGGTAGGGCGTATTCGATGACGCGCTTGGACCAGCTGTCCAAGCCGAGAAAACGACATGCTGACATGCCGGCGCTGTCGGAGTCTGCCTCGTCCCCCCGTCCTCTGTCCTCCTCAATGTCCTCCCGTCAATCCTCGGTAACACGTAGCATGAGCCACCTAGCTGTAAGTAAGACGGCCGGGCACTTTGCCTCCAACAAGCCGCTAAACAAATCGGACAGCAGGAGTATGCACCTGTTGCCGCAAGACGGCTCAGCAGGCCCTCGTACCACGCGCGCCACTCAATTGAGGCAGCAAAAACTCCATCCGACAACCTCCTCCAATTGCAGCGAGGGTACGTCCACTTGCCATTTTTTCCTCCGCTAATCTTATTTTTAATATGCATTTCGTTCAGGCTTTCCTTAGGATTATGCTTTTTTATAGTACTCCTGGTGGTTTTTTTTCTCACGGTGATTGGTCGACAAGGTAGTAAACAAAAGACTTAATAAACCAAACTAACAGTAACATAATATGCTTACCTTATAATAATAATAATAATAAAACAAAATAACAGTTTGTGTAGCTTTTAACATAGTAGAGTAGGTACACAATTTATTTTTAGATTAGAATGGTGGTGGCTCATTCCAAACTCCCCTACACACACCTCTATATACACCCATAAATAATAAATAATTGGTTGAAGCTTTCTTGCACTCGCTTATGTTTTTCATGTTTCTGTATTCTGTAGCATCATCAAGACCTAGCAGTTCTATGAGCCAGCAAAGCACAACCAGTATAGCTAGTTCGGTAAACGTTAGACACCGTCCAAATGTGGCTAGAAAACCTAGACCGGCCAGTATTGCAGTGATGCAAGATACGAAAAACTCCGCCGACAAAGACAACAAGCCGCCGATACCGCGCCAGAGGAAGTCGATCGTAAAGCAGCCGGCGAAAGCGAAACCCAAATCCCCGATTGAGGGCACACCCAAATCCCTATCGGCCGCTAATCTAGTTAATAATCAAGTTAAAAAGGACCCTGGCGATAATAAAACACAACCGAAACCGCCAGACAATACTGCCCACGAAGCCAAAAACGAACCTCAAGTCATCATCGATAGCCCTCCAGTTATTCAACAACAAACTGAACACACTGATCCACCACCAAACGATACAATCAAAGAGTAAGTAACTCAAGCATCACAAACAACCAACACCAAAACGAAAGTGCTTACAATACTAAAATATCCCATTCTATTAACGAGACCTTTTTTTAAATAATTAAAAAAAAAACAAAATTTACTGTATCAAGTCTTTTAAATTTACTATCTAAACTAATATAAACACACTTAGGTTAGGTAAATTATTGCGATTATTACTAAATATTTATTATCAACACTTATACTAAAACTGAAATTATAGACCGTCAAAATTCAATAACACCTAAAAAGTTTATAAGTTAAGTGTTAAAACTGATTGCTTTATGTACTTTTTATGCGGCGTGCCTTTTTGGGAAATTTGCAGAAAAAGCCAAAGCAAGTGTATCTAGTGTGTATATTAATCAGCTAATAAAATGAGATATTTTATATGATACAGTCAATAATCAATAAGAAGTTACCATTGTTTTTGCACCACCTGGATATATACACACATAGTGCAGATATTCATATTAAACTAAATACTTAAAACTAACTAACTACCTATGAGTGTATATAACACATGCAATATAAAATGAATTAATTTCAAATTATTTTTATTAGGATAAGGGCAATTCTATATTCATTTATTATAATATTTATATATAACTACATCAGAGGCTTACATCAATGAATCTGAAAAACACAGATAATTGTTTTTTCTCAACTATTGTTATAACAAATAAAATTACCGTATTGTTGAGTCGCCTGCCATGAATTTAAATTTGACTTAGAATTTAACGAATCCGAACTGTTAAGTGGATCCAGAGTTACGTCATTTGCATTTTTCATTGATTCATCTGGAATTCTAAAAAATCACAACCATTATTAAAGGAGAACAACAAACAAGTCAGCATACCTACAGGTTGTCCACGATTTCCACATCTTTCCCATTTTTCCTGCCATTCTCCTCCATTGCCTTTGTACCATTCATTTGATTATTTTCAGACTTATTCTCATTTTTATCTTCAGAGTTCTGCAAACAAAGTTTCACTCACTTTCATGTCAAGCAAAACAACATCAAGCTCAGAAAAATGATTTTTTAATCCTACGTTGCCATATTTTTCATACAACTCGCAAATCCTTTGCGAGTATTACATAAAAATCGATTCAGTTTCTTCAAAAAAATTAGTTTACCTAGCGCTCAGATTGCTTTAAAGCGTCGTGGCATTGTGTTTCGAAATGTGCTCCACACCACATGGCTGCCGGTACTGATGAGGTCCGAAAGACCGTCAGTCGGTGGGGTACACTCGAAACAAAAGCACGGCGGCGAGGTAAAAGGCCAGTTAATACAAACAGTTTATTAATTATTGTCAAATTCACTCCGTAATAATTCTTTTTAAATGTAAAATGTTTACGCTGTTGCATAAGATGCATATGCAACTCATTAAACGAGGTCGGCCAAATTAGAGAAAAGTCGCGTAATTACAAGCCTATTAACATAAAATTTATAAATTGTAAGAGAAGCCAGTAAATTTTTAAAAAAAGTAAGTTTTACACAATAATCTACATTTTCATCCTATTTATTTGATATTTTTTGAGTTGGAAATCACCATATTTTGTTTTTATAATGGCCGCCATAACTTATGTAGTTTGATTCCGATTTTTTTCCATCTAACCATGTAAAATTCCAATATGGCGGCCATAGGAAAAACAAGACATCGTTGGCGAAAAGTACTTTAAGCACTTTGTGTTTTGTTTTGGTGTTGGGGAATATTTGTTTAACATATCACCAAAGTGGTCCAGTACTAACAAAAATATATTTCAGAGATAATGTAGTTAGCGAACCGACGACGAATAATCACCAAGCCGAAAAAATGGATCAAGAAAAACCGGTAATCGAAGTGGAAGAAGTAGTCGGCAAGCAAACGGTATCCACATTCGTCGAGGAGGAAATAAATGAAATCGTCAAAGAAAACAGTCCGCCAGTGGAAATGACGACATCGACGAACAACTTGGACGCTTCCGTGATCAGCGAGATGAGCACTTCGATGACGAAATCGCGAATCAACACGGAGGAGGAAGCGAAAGCAGCTCTGGCGGAAAGGAGACGCTTGGCGCGGGAGGAGGCGGAGCGGCAAGCGGAACAGGAACGTCTGCGGATAGAGGAGGAGGCGCGGGCGGAACTCGAGCGGCAGCAGCGGGAGGAGGAGCAAGTCAGGCAGCTGATCGAGGAACAGAAGGCTCAGGAGGAGAAGAGATTGCAAGAGGTAAATTAAGTTCTCGATGGAATTGTTCTTTCTAATAAAAATTTCTCAGGCGATTCGCGAGGTGCAAAAGCGGGAGGAGGAAGAGCGGCTGAGAAAAGAGGAGGAAGAGCGAATGAAGGTGTTGAAAGAAGAGGCGGAGAAGAGGGCAAGAGAGGAGGCGGAAAGATTGAAGGCCGAGTTGGCGGAAAGGCTGAAAAAAGAAGAAAAAGAAAGAGAGAAGCGCCGCAAAAGAGTCGAAGCCATCATGTCTAGGACGAGAGGAAAGACAAACTCCAATTCCCAACAAGTGAGTTTTTTTGTTTTGCATTAGTTTTTCATAAGTACTTCCAATTTTTAAACATGGTTTAAAGTCCAAACTATGGGTAAACAACTTTAGAAAAATCTAAAATCCAAGTCTAAGCTATGGGTAAAAAACTTTAAGCAAATCTTATTTGAAGAAGGTTCAAGCACGGTATTAGTTAATATGAGAAAATATTGAAAAAATTCTAAATTGTAATAGAGTCTGCTTACAAAGTTTTAGAAAGATTGACCGTCTGGCTTCCGAGTAAAAAACTATTAAAGTTGCTAAACTTGGTGGCTTATGCCAGTTTGACTTGGTATTTTTAGTATTTAAAAATGGTACTTCTGCTAAAGAATTTAATTAAATACTTTGACACTGTCAAATTGACAATTATACAGGGTGTTATGTAATTAATGTTATATATTAAAATGGGTTGTTCCTTAGGGTCCATAAAGAAGCACCTGAAACTTTTTTTTTCTAAATTCCAAAGTCTAAAAATAATTTATAATAACCCTTATCCTACCAAAAAGTACGCCACTGATCGACTAGGAACTTTAGGTTAATCTGGTGGATTTATTATGTTATGGTTGGTAACAACAGTATTTCCAAAATCTCTCAAAAAAGTTGACAAACATTGATTAAATTTAGCTTAATTACAAAAATGACAAAATTAACAATGCAAATTGTCAATTTGGCGTTTTTATTAATTGTTGGTTATTTCATTTTTGTACTGAAGGTAAATTCAAACAAAATCTGCCAACTTTTATGACAGAATCTAGTGCATTTCTTTTAAATTTTAGGTTATGTTTTCAAATTGTAAATATCTTAACTAAGGGAAGTGCTTTTGGATTTATTTACACAAATTAAATGTTTAAAGTTTTACCTGTAAACTGGTCCCAATTTCATCTGAGTAAACAGAGAAAAAAACTGATGAAAAAATTAATTTTGTTGTTATGGATTTCAAATTTCAAAGGTACTAAATTTTCTAATCATTGCTTAAGCTAATAGCTGGATCAGTAAATAAATACAGAAGGGTATTAGAGCTTTAAGGGCATACAACTTTTGTATTTATTGAGTTTTTATTTATTTTTTGCAAGAAAAATTTTTAGTAACAATTTTTTACATCTGGCAACGCATAGCTACTTTGTTGGTTGGTATCTATGTACTCACAAAATACAGGTGTGCAGAGATAAACAAGTGTGTAACCAGTGGCGTATCACAAAAAATATAAAAAACTTCTAATGCATATTTTTTCTTTATCTTTGGAAAAATGTTTTTTTAAATATTTTTCCTTTATTCCTTATGTCAAAAGGTATTCAGTATTTTAATATATAACATTAATTACATAACACCCTGTATTTATAATTGATAAATTACTTGTCAATTATAAATAAAAAGATAATTATGCCAAAAATAATAGCAACGAATTCGAATGTAAAAGCCCTTTTGAGGGCAAAACTTCATTTTGACGAAATTATGCCAAATGCCACAATGGAAGAAAAAGTACATCACATTATGGACATTTTTGGAGTAAAAAAGTTTTATAAATATTACTTCACACATTATTTTTACATTATTCACCATTGGACAACATTTACGTTCACAAAAAATTTCTTTTATATTAGTTCTTTTCAAAGCGAAGATTATTATCCGCTAGGAATACTTTCTCTTCTGGGCCGTAAAGCAACCCATATTTTTTATATGATTTTACTCATCCAAGCACCACCAAAGCCAAATTAATTGCATTTTTAACTACGACTTTCGACAACTCAACTTGACAACTGCACAATGTAACCTACAATAATTTATACATAACCGCAATTAGATTTATAACCAGCTTAGTTTGTTTTAATCAATGCGACCAACTTGACGACTGTATTTACCAACCAAAACCCTAAATTTGCAACGTTGCCGCAGTCCAGATGTTAACAAAACTTTATATTTCACTTCTACAGGTGTAAGTGCATACGAGAAAAAAATCATCAATTTCTTAATGTCATGTTTATAAGATATGCGTTTATTAAATACATCTCCCATACAGTCTTTAATTAATAATAATAGATCTTTATTGCCCAACAGTAAAACCATTACAGGACATTCATATTCAACATATATAACAGGTGCATAATAAAAATGTTGCAATTCAATAAGAGTTTGTACAGTTAAGGAAAATAGTAATTTCCATTTGAATGCTCCATTGTAATTGTTTAAAGACATTCGGGTTTTGGTAATAAAATTAACACATTTTTTACCTACCTGCTATTTATCATTTCATTTGACTTATGCAATAATCTAAACCATTTAAATATTTAAGATATAAAATTGATTTTGAAATAATTTAAATATAATATATGTTCTATAATTTATTTAATAAACTACATGTTATTTAATTCGTTGTTATTGATAAAATAATATTTAAATAAAATATATAGACATTATTGTGTAAAACTTACTTTTTTTAAAAATTCACAAAAATATCGGAAGTTATAACGATTTTTTGTTTTGAAGGTTTTTAGTTTTTTCAAATATTTTGATAACAGCTGGCTTCTCTTACAATTTATAAATTTCATGTTAATAGGCTTGTAATTACGCAACTTTTCTCTAATTTGGCCGACCTTGTAGCTCTTCAAATAAAAAAAATACTTGGTGCAGCCTGTTTAATGAGTTGCATATGCATCTTATGCAACAGCGTAAACATTTTACATTTTAAAAGAATTATTACGTAGTTAATTTGACAATAATTAATAAACTGTTTGTATTAACTGGCCTTTTACCTCGCCACCGAGCTTTTGTTTCGAGTGTACCCCACCGACTGACGGTCTTTCGGACCTCATCAGTACCGGCAGCCATGTGGTATGGAGCACATTTCGAAACACAATGCCACGACGCTTTAAAGCAATCTGAGCGCTAGGTAAACTAAATTTTTTGAAGAAACTGAATCGATTTTTATGTAATACTCACAAAGGATTTGCGAGTTGTATAAAAAATATGGCAACATAGGATTAAAAAATCATTTTTCTAAGCTTAATGTTGTTTTACTTGACATGAAAGTGAGTGAAACTTTGTTTGCAGAACTCTGAAGATAAAAATGAGAATAAGTCTGAGAATAATCAAATGAATGGTACAAAGGCAATGGAGGAGAATGGCAGGAAAAATGGGAAAGATGTGGAAATCGTGGACAACATGTAGGTATGCTGACTTGGTTGTTGTTCTCCTTTATTAATGGTTGTAATTTTTTAGAATTCCAGATGAATCAATGAAAAATGCAAATAACGTAACTCTAGATCCACTTAACAGTTCGGATTCATTAAATTCTAATTCAAATTCAGATTCATGGCAGGCGACACAACAGTACGGTAATTTTATTTGTAATAACAATAGTTGAGAAAAAAACAATTATCTGTGTTTTTCAGATTCATTGATGTAAGCCTCTGATGTAGTTATATATAAATATTATAATAAATGAATATAGAATTGCCCTTATCCTAATAAAAATAATTTGAAATTAATTTATTTTATATTGCATGTGTTATATACACTCATAGGTAGTTAGTTAGTTTTAAGTATTTAGTTTAATATGAATATCTGCACTATGTGTGTATATATCCAGGTGGTGCAAAAAGAATGGCAACTTCTTATTGATTATTGATTGTATCATATAAAATATCCCATTTTATTAGCTGATTAATTTACACACTAGATACACTTGCTTTGGCTTTTTCTGCAAATTTCCCAAAAAGGCACGCCGCATAAAAAGTACATAAAGCACTCAGTTATAACACTTAACTTATAAACTTTTTCGGTATTATTGAATTTTGACGGTCTATAATTTTAGTTTTAGTATAAGTTTATTTTTTAAGTGTTGATAATAAATATTTAGTAATAATCGCAATAATTTACCTAACCTAAGTATGTTTAGATTAGTTTAGATAGTAAATTTAAAAGACTTGATACAGTAAATTTTGTATTTTTTTAAATTATCTAAAAAAAGGTCTCGTTAATAGAATGGGGTATTTTAGTATTGTATAATACATGTGACTGAGAATAGGTAAAATATGTATCTTTATTATATTTTATAATAAATTGTAAATCCCGATCCAAAATGAATATACATGTGATTTCAACATTTGCAGTATTTTTTTTCTGAGAGTATGTTTTTTGGTCGGGACCGATGCAAATAAATTTTTCTCTTCCATATAAACTCGGTCGATACTAGTCATCTTCATTTTATGTTAAATTGTTGTGTAATATTATCATAATAATGCTGCCAACTGTTGGAACTAATAATATCATCCAACTTACATAATATGGCGGTTTTATGCATTTTAAGAGAGTTTTAAAAAAGTCAAATGTTTTTGTTTTATTTGATGTTATGTCACGGAAAAGGGTCATTTTGTTATTAGCCTAAATAATATATTTTCAAATACTGTTAGTGTGTTATAGGTTTTTGTATAGATTAGATTTAAAAATGGTTAACAATGACAGATACTGCATTGGTATGCAAAATGTTTTTGAAATTTTGTCCCGAAATTCCATCTTGTCCTATAAGCAATACTTTTAACTAAATTAACAACCAACTTTGACAAAACTTCTAAAAAATTTCGTAGATCATTGTTTTTAGTACGAAAATTTTTTCCTATAACTCAATTAGAAAAATATCCTTCATGTATTAAATAAAAATAAAATACTACTTACGGCATTTATAAGAAATTAAATATCCATTTAAATATCGTAACCCTTCATGTGGTTATTAATCACATTAAAACGCTTGTTAAAAGTGCTTAATAAATGTAAAATTTATTTATGATTCTACACCTGTGTTTTATTTTAAATACCCTGGGGAAAAATAAAAAAAACCTACAATTTCAATAATTAGTTACCTATATACTTAATTTTTTAAAATTTTCTATTCTAATCTAATTAATTCTAAGGACAAAATTAAAACTAAAAAAAATCGTTGCATTTTCATGTTTTGCCAAAGGATCCATTTCGGTACATACATTTGTTGGTGCAGAATTAACTAATGATAACTTTACCTAATATAATTTATATTTAAGTTTGGACATTTTTAAGAAATTAGTAAAAAAATGTTGCACAAACATAACCTTAAAATCAACCATTTTTATATTTGAGTTCTCTAAAAAACGCCGACAACTGCATTTTAAACATCAAAATATACCTACGAATTCATGGCAACATAATATTATAAAATACATAATATAATGGTATTTTACCGTTGAGTGGACTTTCTTTAATCAACGCTTTTAATAATGCTAAATGCTGTTTAAATTTAGAGGACTTATTTGTTTGACGATGTTTACTGAATTGAAATGTTTACACTTTTCACGTTAATCACTACTAAAATGTGTATTTATTGTATCTAATAGGTACAATTTATATTTACAGAGACTGTATGCAATTTATTTCTTCATTCAGATTAACACTGTTTATTGGAAAACTGGTAAAAACTCAACCCAGGATTTCCTCTAGAAATACACCCAACAACACAACAAATCGAGCCACGGTTTTTTTTCCGATATTTTTTTAACATTTTTCGGCTTTATTTTCAAAAACACTCGTTTGTAACATAAGCTGATAATAATATTATTAGCTTCTTTATTAGCTAGGGTGGTATTAGCCTACGGATATTTATAGTTAAACTACAAATATTTAGATGCCTGCTAAGTCAAAAAGTCCCATCTACAATGCAGTTGAGTTTAGTTATCTGAGATAAGATTTTTCAGATCTTATACAGCTCTAAAGGGGAAAAACAGCCCATAATGTGCATATCTTTTAGACATCGTTGTCGATCAAGATATTTATTGGACATCTTTTAGAGGATATTTTGCTGAGTGTGTAATATCTTTTCACAAGAATGCATGTTTGTACTATTAAACCCATTTATAAATAGAATCACGTTAAAAACAGTTATAAAAAGTTATATTATACGCTGAGTGAAGAAGACTTCAATATGTTATTATTAATCAATGTTTTATCATTGAGTAAGATGTAAGATTCTTTACTCAATGGTTTTATATTTTGCCTGGTTTAGGTTTAGGATATTTTGTAAGCAAAGTTTTAAACCTGTAATCATATAACAAACATACCTGCCTGTGTCTGTAATTAGTTCGTCCCCACTTGGATAGATGGCGCAGTTAAACATTATTGACATACTTACCACTCTGTGTAGTAAGTATATAATTATTGAAATATACTTACTGGGGTAAGTATATAAATATTGACATACTTCCACATATATACCGCTTATTCGTTATATTTTGTATAGATTTGTCGATTTGTCGTATCATTTTACCTTATGCGCATAGGATTATTGACACATACTTCCATACTTGTGGAAGTATATGATTATTGACGTTTCCATTTCCATTCTTTCAAAGAGGTGCACGACGTTGTCATATTTATATAATTTACTATATTTTTAAATACCTCCTTGATTAATAGTGTTGTTATCTTAAAAAAATACGAAAATGTACGATTAAAATTAATTAAATCACAAAGTAGTGTAATATTAATAGCAAATGAAAGAAATATAGTGGAGAGTGTTATGTAAGTTGGCAACCCTGGCCAGGCTTCTCTGACAGCTATGATTTGTGAAGTGAGGTGTGGTGAATGTTATTTGTTGATGTTGTTTATTATTTTATTAAACATTTTTATTTTTACCCAATAAAATGCATCTGAACGCAGATATTTCGAGTGCTTTACAGTTGATGGAGGACATAAAAAATACAGTGGACGAGTTAGGAGATCCAAAATTAAAAGTAAACACATATCCGGACCTAAATTTACTTATATCAGTATTGGAAAACCCAGTATTTAGAAGTATAGTCACAGTACAAGACTCTATAAGTGAATTAAATCAGCAGCTAGGCCAGCATCCATCGATATTACCAGTTGATTTTGACATAACAGCTTCGGGTGAGCTAGTTTTAAATGTGCCCCCAGCAGGTGAGCTTTACGATCCAGACTATGCAGATGAATACCAACCTGCTAGGGATTTCGACGAGCAACGGGTGCCTTCAGCCCCTATCTCCCCCGGATCTCCTCAAGTACCACCATTTAACACAAGCGAAAATAAAATAATTCTGCTGAACAGTAAAACTCTCAATGGAAATCTCAACTTTTCCAACGATGACGATATTATTCACCGATCACCTTCAGTGGGAAGTGATGCATCAAAAACTGGTTCCGACACTCTATTGAACAGCGAGTGGTCTCAAGTGGAAAGTATAGATTTGATTAATGACGGCACAGGGTTAGGATTTGGAATTGTCGGCATGAGAAATATGGGAGTTGTTGTTAAGACAATATTGCCTGGTGGAGTTGCCGATCGCGATGGGAGATTGCAAAGCGGGGATCACATTTTACAGGTAATATTTATATATAGTATATATTCAACTTTTACCAGACTTTCATAGTTTTAAAGAGATGTTGCTGTCTTAAAAGTTTGCTGGCCAAGGTTAACATTTTTAAGGTAGCCATAGCCAGGGTTCGAAAAAATCTTGATTTAAATTTTTTTTTTTTTTTTAAATCAACAAAAATAGTATATTAAAAAACTAATCACATAAGACGTCATTTTGTCGCACGCGTAATGGACCAGTGCGACAAAAGGTCTTATGACTGAATTCTTTATGCTATTTTATCTATTTTGCAAAAATTCTATAAAAAAAAATAATTTTATACCTTAAATTTTGTTTGATCGAATTTTACTTTAGACAGTTGGTATCACAGTAATTGTTTTGACAGTCATGCCGTCCTTAATTTACTTATTTACAATAAGGGGCTGTTAATGTTAAAGAAGAAAAAAATGATTTTCTTTGGTGTTAAACAAAATTTATTGCAAGAAGTACTAGAAAAATCATAAAAATATAACCAATATGCAAAATATTATGCTGTTTAAAGTATAGCCAACCTATAAAATCAAAATTTAGTCATGAACGCAAAATAGATAAAAATACTAAAGTTAATTTGACCATAATAATATTATATTGGCACTACTTTAAAAACAAATAAACCAACTGTCATATATTTTTTGTATATTCCTTTAATATTTTATTTAACAAAATAAGCAATTTTTCCATTGATTAATAACTCAGCGGTTTTTATGAATATGAATTTATTTAAATAGTCAAGATATTATTGTGTTTTAGTTTTAGATCTTTTTAGATTTTGGAAACTTTTTAAAACTGATTTAAATCATTGTTTAAAATAAAAAATCACTTGATTTAAATCGTTGATTTAAATCAAGTGAACCCTGGCCATAGCTAGCTACAATTTACATTCTTAGTTATATCTAGCTTAACATTAGTTGACAATATTAAAACAGTCAAATCTAGCTTAATTAAGCTAAGTTGGCATTCTTAAGGCAGTTAAGTTTAAGTTATTATTTCTTATGTAAGTAGGAGTTTATTTTAAAAATACTGTAATTTATTTTGAATTTAGTCCAAAGTCTATTCAAATCCAAGCTGGACTAAATGTGAACACAATCCTCCGAATCGACCAATAAGAGCTCACACCATCAGAATAGACCAATAGAAACAAGTTATCACGCGTCTGGGCGTTTTTTGATTAGTCCAGCTTGGATTTGAATAGACTTTAAGTAGCAGAATAAAAACGACTTATATTTAAGGTCAACACCCCAGATAGCGTTTGGAATTTTATAAGCATTTTGCCGCGAGCTTGAGGCTCTTTCATTTAATTAAACGCTCACTAATGCAGGGTCACATATGTAATTTTATATGTGCCGAGCATGTCTGCTATTGCGCATGCGTATTTGGTAAAAATTCTCAAACCATGATGAATGCGTCTATATTGTCAGTCAATTGAGGACTCACGCAACCCTCAATGTAAAACACGCGTGCGGGTCGACATTTAAGTTGTATTCCGAAACTATTTTTTGATAGGAACTGAGATTTTGGTTCCTGTCAACTATTTCAATATACTTTTAGAGTTTTAAACATCTAAAGAATGTCAACTGAAGCTAGATATAACTGCCTTAAAAATATCAATTCAAGCCTTAAATTTTAAAGTAGATTAATTGTTTTAATGATGTTAAGTAATTAATTTGAAGCCTTGTTTAAAAGACATAAACAATTTATTTTGATATATTTTTCGTTAGATTGGTGAAGTAAATTTGCATGAGATGGGTTCAGAGCAGGTGGCAACGGTGTTGAGGCAGTCTGGGACGCATGTTAGACTTATAGTGGCGAGACCGGTCGATATAAGTTCCACGGAGTATAAATACTTGGGAAGTTCTGCACCTCTAGTGCCTACGCGACTTCTGCACGATTGCGTGGAGTTGGATCGTTATTTAATTCAGCATAAATACTCGGCGATTTTCCACAAGGAGCAAGTAACTGATTTGTTTCAATACGAGCAATCGAAGACTTACACGGGGTTGTCTAGAGTTCCAGCGTCGCCGTCGTTGCCTTTACTGAATTTGGACATGGCGATGGTGAAGATGCCGGAAATGGAAAAGTTCGTGGTGGAGTTGAAGAAGGACGCGAATGGTTTGGGGATAACGATAGCCGGGTACGTGTGCGAGAAGGAGGAGTTGTCGGGCATTTTCGTGAAGAGCGTCAGTAAAGGAAGCGCGGCCGATGTGAGCGGCAGAATAAAAGTGAACGATAGAATCGTGGAAGTGGATGGTCAGTCGTTGCAGGGGTACACAAATCTGCAAGCAGTCGAAGTGCTAAGAAACTGCGGCAACGTGGTGAAGCTGTGCCTGGAAAGATACTTGCATGGGCCAAAATACGAACAGCTTCAGCAAGCGATTGCTGCTAGCGAAATAAAACCGACTTCTTCGCCAGAAGTGCCACGGTAATAGCTAAAACTAACGTGCTAACCCCTAGTTGCTTTTTAAAATTTCTCTTACTAACCCACCCCTAACTATTTCAACCACTAAATCAGTACTGGTCTGGATGTAGTTTTGTCTTGTTCTAAAAATCATCATCATATTTATGTAAATTTCAGATATCCTAAAGAAGAAGAAGAAGATGGGAATTTAGTTGTTAATGGAGATAGCAAGGACGATTTGTTTAGCTCGATAATAACAACAACAACAACAACAGAAAAAGCGGTGATTTTATCGGAGGAGGAGATCAAATCGAGATGGGAAAAAGTGATGGGTAGCGAGACAGAAATAGTGGTGGCTCAATTGAGAAAATTCGGAGAGAAAGGCGGATTGGGAATTAGCTTGGAGGGCACTGTGGACGTGGAAGATGGCAAAGAGGTCCGTCCGCACCACTACATACGCTCGATATTGGCTGAGGGGCCGGTCGGAAAGAACGCCACGCTGCGCAGTGGCGACGAACTTCTCGAAGTCAACGGGCACAAATTGCTGGGAATGAACCATCACGAAGTGGTCAGCATTCTCAAGGAGCTGCCCATTAACGTGTGCATGGTGTGCGGAAGAAACCCCATCAACTTGTTCGAGGCGCAAGACAACTACGGCAACGGCAACGGCAACTACGCCGACCGATCCCCTTTGACGAGAAGCCTGCACAATTTGTTGCCGGCCTCGGATAGACTGGTGAAAGCCAAGTCGGACGGTTCGTTGGCCAGCAGTATAGCGGCCGCTGGGCCCTCCTTGGACAATTCCTTCGGCAAAGTGAAATCGCGATCGTTGGAACCGCTGACCGGGCTGGCGATGTGGAGCTCGGAGCCGCAGATAATCGAGCTGGTTAAGGGCGAACGCGGCCTGGGATTCTCCATTTTGGATTACCAGGACCCGATCGACCCCAACGATACCGTTATCGTTATACGAAGCTTAGTGCCCGGCGGGGTTGCGCAGCTAGACGGCAGGCTCATTCCGGGCGATAGGCTGCTTTTCGTCAACGACACCGTTTTGGAGAACGCCTCGCTCGACCAGGCCGTTCAGGCGCTCAAAGGCGCCCCCAAAGGCGTTGTCCGGATAGGGGTGGCCAAACCCCTACCCATTCCAGACACCTCGGGACACACCTCTTTTACCGAACTCGAACCCCATACTAGGCTCCTCGCAACGACACCTAACTAGGATACAAATATTATTTTTAGCGATATTTACACCAAGTATTACCTATTTCTTTCATCATTATTGGAAATAAAACTGCCAGGATTAGCAATAATTGTTTTATTATTTACACTTGCAGAAACATGTGTGTTTTATATAACAGGTTTTTAGGGCCAAAAATAGGAAGAACATACATCGGCAAATGACCCCTAAGGAACCTACAGCCACTTCAAGTGGGACCAGAAAATTTCACAAAATCACCGATTTTGAAAATAACCACAATAAGGTATTTGTAGCGAGTAACTAGGTCTTACCGGGCATGAGCGGTTATCTGACCATTTCATTTCTGCGAGCAAGCTTATAGATTTTCGCCATTTCCGTTACCGGTCGTAACTCTGTTCAAGACTTGAGTTAAAGTCGGTTACAAAAGAAAGAGGTTATTTTTAATGTTTTGTTTGGTTGTTTGGATACAGAATTTATGGAAATAACGTTTAATTATAAAGGGAAGGATTACAAAGTAATTTGTGATATATTTGTGTCTGGCGCAGGCATTCTGAAGTTTATTTCTCTTTTAAGACATGGCAAATTATTTTAGTCTTGTTTTCATGTGGAAAAAGAAACAAGTCAAACGTAAGATCAATAAAATATATTTCTGCGTTAGATAGCACCAAACATAACGTATCCATTGTTTTCATGTATAAGAAATAACAGTTAAACACACGATCACTACCAAATAATTTTTCTGCGTTAGATAACAATAAACAACGTATTCATTATTTTCTTTTAAGCAAAAAAGAAAAATACACCTATATATTTGAAGAAAAAATGAATCAAGGGATGAGTCAACTCAGATAATCTTAATTGAGTCCCTTGATCCTTGAGAAAACTGAAAACATAATGTGCTGGCCAAATAGCATTTAAGTAAGCTAAAGGCCAAACATCTGGGCAGAGGCTCAGAATTAAGAAGAAGAAGAACCACATAATACCAACCTCGTTTTAGCGACGCTACGTCATTCGGTGGATGACGACATAATTATTAAGTGGGGGACATACCACATATTTTCAAAATCGGTGATTTCGTAAAATTTCTTTTCCCACTTGACGTGCCTTGACTCGTTTTAGATAAAGTTTTATATTTTGTTAAAAATATTTCTTGTTAAATTTATTAAATAAAAAAAAATACAATACAAAACAAATGCCGTTGTTATAAACAGAAGATTTCTTCCTATTTTGCACTATTGCACACTATTTTCGGGAAACCCTTTATACTGGATGTTGCAAACTTTGTAGATTTGAAACATACAGTATACAGGGTTCACCTTCTATGTATGGATATCTTTTTTATTTGAAGAGCTACATAGTCGGTTAAATTAGACATACGTTGCGTAATTACAAGTCTATTAAAATGGCATTAAAAAAATCAGCATTTATCTACATTTTCAGTTTGTGATTTTTTTGTACTACCACTATCTTTTGTTTTACCCATGACCGCCATATTGGAATTTTACAAAAAAACCAGGGAATCCAACTAAAGTCTATTCAAATCCAAGCTGGACTAAACAAAAACGCCCAGACGCGTGATAACTCGTTTCTATTGGTCGATTCTAAAAGTGTGACTCGGATTGTGAGCTCTTATTGGTCATTTCGGAGGATTGTGTTTACATTTAGTCCAGCTTGGATTTGAATACGTAAGTTATGGCGGCCATTATAAAAACAAAAGATAGTGCTGGTAACTCAAAACATAATAGGTAAAGAAATTGGATAAAACTGTAGATGTAGGTATAAATACCCACATAATACTCTGTGCACCCTGTATAGATTAATAATTCAATTAACGTAAAAATCTCAAACACCGATTCAACTGTTTTATAAAGGTTGTGGTGTAATATTTTATTAAAAGAAATAAGTAATACTTATTCACATAACAAATACTTAGATTGTGATAATCATTTTCCAAAAAAGTGTACCATGTTTGTATTGCTTTTTTACCTTACGTTTCTAGCCCAATCTATCTAATTCATTATTCTAGATTAAATTATTTATAGTTTATGGGATAAATATTAATAATATAGATCTGATAGATAAATTAAGTAATAACATTTGAGCAGATCTAAATTGTCTATTTATTGCGCTGTTAAGTTTTTGCTACCAGTTTAAGCAATAATTTACATTTTTTATGTATGACGTTCATCTTTACAAAAAATCGAATAAAAAATTTACTTGATTACTTGTTTTGTTTTATTTCATTCAATTCCAGATATTTCTTTACAGATAGTTAAGAGGATGAAAATATTAATTAATTTTAACAATTTTATTTATCAAATAGGTGAAATGGCCAATATGAAACATAATTGCTACAAAATATCTTAATATTTAATTAAATTACAAAGTTATAAACAATAATAGTAGCGATACCTCTCACCGCTGGATGAAGGTATTTTTTATTTTTAAGTTTTCAAGTTTGTTGACAACAATTATGTTAATTTTCATTAATACTATTTTAAATTATATTTTTGTGTATATGTATGTTAAAAATATATACAGCCCGTTCAGAGTAAAACCGAATATATCTATATATATATATATGGGGCGTGGCCTCGCCTCCCTCCAACGCGCGACACAGTAGCTAAGCAAATAGCCTGCATCGCTAATAAGATTTTTTGCATTATCATTTAATTTTTTAAGTCCTTACCTGCTCGACCTTTCGTCATGTCGTTTATCACACAAGCTACTGTGACGCGCCTTGGAGGGAGGCGAGGCTACGCCCCATATATATATATAGATATATTCGGTTTTACTCTGAGCGGGCTGTATTGTATAAACGAAAAACTCAAAAGGAAATGTTGGGTTAAAATAGGGGAATATAAAGAAAATAGGTTGGCAACACTGCATATATTGGCCCTCTATTATCCAGTTGCTCTATTAATAAAACAATTTATAGAACGCTGTCACCTTGGACGCTGTTTTAAATATTTTATAACAGTTTTATCGTTGATTGAGAAACATTTTAACGCAAACATAATAAAAACCTCTCACATAACTTTTAACTAAAGTAAACATACTTTTTAGCGATATGTCCCATTATCGTTTACTTAGGTTTTATGCTTTATTGCTCAATTATTATTTTAAAACTTTCTTTAATTTAATTTATAACGTTTCTAGGTACAATTACAATGTTTGTTGTTTTATTATTATTGCTGATAAAATTTCAATTAAATGAATTATACATGTACCTAGAGTTATACATTTATCTACAATATTTATGTTATTTTTATACTAGTTTTGAAGCTGAATATGTAGGTATTGATTTTTATGTTACTCTTTACCGAGTATAACTCGGGGGCATGGTTTAATACCTTGGTGGAGCATTATAAAGAATCTCGTTTTAAATAAAAAAAATGCGCCTTTAGTTTCGAACGAATTTTTTGCCTACCTTAATCATAGCGACCTGAAAGGGGTGTTGACTATGGAGGGGGAAAATAAAAATCGTCTTTTAGTACTATATATAATTTTATTTCATGTTTTTATCCAATGAACACATTGTCAATAATAATATGAACAGATTGCGCCATTTACAATAATTTTATAGTACACGACACATAAATATATTTTATTTAGAAACAGATTTAAAATTATAAATTCGGCTGGAACGGCTAATGTACATATGGTCAAAATAAATTAAAATTCAAAAATTATTGCAACTGTTTTTTTATCATCATCGGATTGCTGAATAAAACATTATTAATTGCATTTTTGGTAATACTTAGTATTTAGTAAATTTTGGTCAACGATTTGTGCTATGACTTAAAGGCACATGTAAAAGATAGAAAATTTTATTGCAGTTGCAATATTTTAAAATTATTTACGCAGACGTTTGCGATTTTTTATTTATTTAATACTTTTAGGACTTTTAGGCGTTAACAAGTATATGTTAGCTAAACTACTCTTATTATATTAGGTATAATGGTTGCTTACACATAATCAAATTTAACCTATGCCCTAATAAATTTAACTACTGCCCAAGTTCGCCCTTAAAGTTTTTTCCGTGCGCGTAAATAATTTTTAAATTTTTTGTCAAAAATCTCCTATAGGGGACAATGCCTGCATTCGCCCCTCATATATATATATATAACGTTAATATAACCTCGTTGCCAACCGAATAACAGTAATCTATAATAATCAGGTTAAAGAGACGTTAGGATCGGATAAAATTTTCTAATCGAAGAGCAAAGCCTCGAGAAACATTTTAAGGCTTCCTTGACAGCTAATTAAACCAATTAAATGGTCATAAACCTTTTATAACACTTTCAATGTTTCTTGAGGCCGTTATCTACCTCCAACGACCACAAACAAGAAATTTTCATCGCCGTTCAATTAATAACAAATTATTAAATTCTAGAATTTTCAACAATAACATAGTCGTAAAGCAGTATTTAATCAAATAGAAACATTATTTTACCTTACTAATGACTAAGTAAAGCCATTGTTCATCAGGGAAGGACGGTCAGAGCCTCTGACTCAAAGGCCATTGTGGGAGGGAGGGGCTAATTGCCATTGTTGCCACATTAGCTCACACTGCATCAATGCGCATGTGTGGCCGTCCTTACCTAATGCCAAGTGGTAAAGCCTATCAAAATTTTATGAGCATAATAAATAGATTATGAAAATATTTTAAGGAAGACTCTAATGTATACACGCAAAAAATATGTATTATGTTATCTGAGAATCATTTGGCGCTCTATCTTTTATTTTATTTCTTGTGTGCTTATTTATTCATATTTAGGTTAATAGAGAATAATACTTTTTATTTTACCTAAATTATAGACGCTATATAAAGTCTAAATAGTTAAGGGCTAATAAACAAAGCTGTAAAACGGGAGTGCTCTTTTTATTATTCCACCGTATTTTTAGTTAAAGCTGCACTTACTGAAAATCAAGTGCTGCTTATTTTTAAACACTGAATTTCTAAAACTATTAGAGTGAACAAGACTAGAGAAATACATGTACGTCATCAATTAGTTGCGCGAACGAAAAGTTGCCAAGTGAACGCCAGTAACTAACTAACGCCCCTAAAATTTCAAATAATGGACAAGTCCGGCAATTTTGATGTCTGCGCATCTACATGTATTTCTCTAATGTAACATTTTATACCAACAAAAATGTTTCAATTTGATTATTATACGAAGTTAAATAACATTATTATTCAGTAAAATCACTCAGGTTAATAAGGTTTTCGAAATCTATTTGAAAATTGTTTAATCATATTCCTTGAAATTTGCAACTCTACTTTCTATAGAAAATGATCTCTGTAGAAAGCCAAAATGCAATTAGAGATTGGTTTATTGCTTTCTATGAAGATTATTTTCTATAGAAAGTAAAGTAACATATTTCAAAATTCCGGGAAGTTAGTGACGAATCAGCGAACTCTTCTTGAGTTCAATAGACGGATGTTAACATTCACATATTTAATGTATTTTATTGCAGATGGTTTTGGTAGTTGGTCCGAAAGGCCTAAGTTGATCGAGAGTGATTCTATTGTATCAGAACGTGGGAAAATAGAAACGGTCGTTTGGGAATGGATGAGGGACACCAACAGTCATAAGTGGTTGATGTAGAATGGCGTAATCTGGCACTAGCTAATTCAGTGACACATAGATATAAATAAATAGAACTTAATTTAATTTCAAGGTACCTTTAAGGCTAGTTGAGATCACTAGTGCACTATTATCTCTACTCTGCCGCTCGAGACAGTAGTGTGTTTGCGCAGCGAAAGGGGAGGGGGAATGTCCAGCTGCGCGTTAGTGCCCTTGCATGCAATACACAAGGAAAACTGACCAACCCAACCAAACCTGTCACAGCACGAAGAGCTGTTTGTCGCCCAGCGTAGGCGCATCAGTAAAAAGATTGTACATGTACTTTTGTGAATATATTCTATCACTCATAATTTGACATTGAATACAGTAATTATTATTAATATTGCTCAATAAAGTTCTTAATTTTACTTATGTAACTATATTACTTATTTGACAACCAATCGAAGAATACGCATGTGTGAAACGATCGAGTACTTACTTATCATAAAATGAGTCCAAACATCGTAAATGTTAAAGAAGTCGCTAGACAAGAATCAAGTAGGTATGTTGAGTATGTTTTAATGTTATATATATGTGATATACAACGGAACTACCTACATGAAAGTACATTCGATAGTGTTAGCGATACTTGACTATTCTACAGTTTGTTTTATGCTACAGCCTATCATAACACTGCATGTTTTCTTTTCTTTCTTTTCGCTTTGTTTTGTTTGCTCATATTCTGCATGGCATGGTCAGTCATTGTCGTCAAAAATGAGCACGAACTTTTTTAATCACAAATTTAATTCCAACCTATACTCGCTATTAAAATCTACGCTTTGTTACCAATTTTGATTTTATACAGTATTACATAGGATAAAGAATCACGTTTGCGTTAGAGCAAATACGGTTGTCATACTTAGTAGGACAACATGCTCCTCGCTTTACAATCTATAACATTAAGAAGAATAAATTAATAAGTATCTCTTTGGTATAATCACTATCATTTGTTTAACATTCTATACTTAAAATACTGTACGGCCATCGCAATGTCCTTTGATTTGAATAATATTTGGCGGATTCGAGCTAGCCAAGCCGCCAGCCGTCTTTTCTGGATCCGCGAGCGAGCATCCAGACGCAGACTCACCTGAACTTACGAATAGATGGTTATTACTTCCTGACCACCGCCTCTAACCATCAATACTTTCTCGAGGCCTTCCGTCAACACCTCCAGGAACTCCATGTCTAATGCGCAACGGTAAAAAATTAATCTAAGCATTTAACTTTCAATTTACTCACAATTGGATTCCCTCTCGACCTTGGTGTCCTTCGGTGGTCCTGGCAGATTCAACACGACCAATTGAGCATCATGGGAGCGACTTACTATCACTTCATTTAATTTAACAGCCGTATGCATCCTACGCACGTTTCCCTCGTCTCTGAAAGCAAAATCGAAATTGAATTAGACTGCTCGTGTCTTACACTCTTATTGACTTTCTTACGGAGTCATTGCGGATTGCTTCTCGTCACTCACTGAGTTGTTAGATTTGTGATTCTCGGCGCACTCTTTCTCTGAGGCATCCTCCTTCTCGGTGGAATTGTCGCATTCGTCTTTCGCATCGGCATTGTACTGTAACCGAAGTTTTTTTATCATTATCATCAATATTTAATGCATTCAAAGTACCTCATTTGTAGGTTCGGATTCGTTCTTATTGTCCCCATCGGCTCCGGGTTCCTGGAAACGGACCTTGGTTGCGGTTTTGGCATCCATGTGCCGTTGATCGACAATCGATTGTACCTAGAAAATAGGCACCGTGAAAAAGGATTCTCTACATATCCCAAGTAAATGCCAGATGAGTAAGTGGTCATGGAATATTTAAAACGATGAACAAATAAATAAAAATCGTGCTCAAATTAATATTAAAGATGATGCTACGGCTGATTTGCGATGTTTTACCAGAGGCGTTTTATCTTCCGAATTGAAATCCATCATCGGCACCTTGCGTGTTAAATAATATGAATATTAATTTAAAGTTAGATTAAGTTATGGTCGTTATTTAAGAAAATAATTAAACTTACCACACCCAAAGTTTCCTTCTTATTCAAGCGTAGTTCTCTCAACATTTGATTGCGCTGCTCCATCATCAAAGTACGTTCATAGGTATAAGCAGAAATATCACTGTTCATCTGAAATAAACCATCAAAGCAAACTTATCGAATACAAATATAGTATAATTACCATTTCAACCACTTCAACTTCAGCCTCAATTCGCAAATGGTAAAGGAACGTCTTCAAATCTTTTTTCATCTGTATAGAATTATCCTCCATTTGAGCGACGGTAAAAATGCGCATCTTGCAATTCTTCCAGGTCCTGTGCTGTTTCAATAGAAAGGGTAAAAGCATGAGCAGACCGCCATCGTGAACAATCCACCAAATATCGATATTTCCGGACATCTTATCGCCGCTGTCAGGGAAAAAGTTTATTCCCTTGGGAACCAGCAAAGCCATGCGAGCCGCCATCACGCTTCGGAGCGTTTGCAAAAAGTCTTGCCAAGTGTGATGGTCTTCGGACTGGCGCCAACCGTAAGGCCATCCTAGAATAACCGTGTTCGGTTTCAGCCCGCCCAAGCCGGCAGTTTGTATCAAGGTCGATAGCCCGTCGCGGATGTTCCGTGTGACCAAAATGTCAACGAAGCCTTTTACTTTCTCTTCCTCCATGGTTTTGCGTAAACTTTGTTTGGCCGCCATTGCATCGCCGTAGCTTCGTGTGAAATCTCCATTGACTACAGAAGCGCAAATTGTCAAACCCTTGCCCGCTTTTAGTTGAGAGGCGAACGAAAATAATTTTCTGTACTTTGGCAGATAATCGGTGGTTAGTTTGACGAGAATTAGAATTTGCGGGCGCCAGTTCTTGGTGTGCGGAGGTCCTTCTTCTAAGCGTAATAGGGAATATCTCGCGGCGGATAAGGCAAGACCTCGAATCCCATCACCCCATTCCTTTTCAGCGCTGTAAGATGATAATTATTATGTGGTACTAAAATATATGTAGTAATATTTACCCTCTGTATTCGATGTATTTGTAAATGATTCCGGCCATGCCCATGGCAAGTAAAGCTAGGTACCAAGAGGTCATAAACATGACCGCAATGCACAAGATTAATCCAATCGAGGATAAAGACCAGTGATAATATTTAAATCTTGGTCTCCAATTTGGTGTTCTTAGTAGAGTTTGTAAAGCACATGCGAGATTAACGAAACCATAACACATCAAGAAGAACATGGAAAGTAACGGTGCCAAAATGTCGACGTTTCCGAGCAAAATACCGCACTGGCAAATGCAGAGGGTTAAAATTAGGGCCCGTGTCGGTTCACCTCTGCTCGAGGAAACAGAGAACGGAGTCAAAAACGGTATGATTCCGTCTTTGGCGATGGCCTGTAGCAATCGAGGTGCACCAGTCAACGACTGTAGTCCAGCGCCCAAAGTGGACAAGAACGATCCTATCAAAATAACCCATTGGTTTGGCCAGGCAATATTGGCCACCACCAGTTTTCCACCTATTGAAGCTCCGAACCTGGAATATCGCTATTAATAACGTAACTATATTAAAATTATTGCGAACGTACTTGTCTCTTAGCAAAAGGTTGTCCACGGTTCCAGCAAATAGGATCACAGAAGATAGATACACAATTGAGGTGGTGAGAATAGCGCAGATTGTACCAATTGGTATGGATTTTTGAGCGTCCGCCAAGTCACCTGATCTATTAGAACCGGCCATTATACCGGTTACCGACGGAAAGAATATACCGATTAGAATGGTGAAGGTGGTGGTTATATCGGCCCATATTTGGTTGTATGATTCCGAACCGCCCCTTTCGATATCCTCCGGTTTGTTCTCTCTGGCCAAGAATTGCCCTTCCTCCAAGAAACTGTCGTAAATGTTTTCGAGTAAAATTCCGGAGGAGAGACCTTTGATGCCGCGTTCGACGGTAAGGTTGTGGTCGTTATAATATTTATCGCAAAATAGAGTTCCATTCGGGCAGAACATTTTGTGAAGGGGACCGTTTACGTCCTTACTGCAATGGGTTAAGTTATCCATTTTTAAGACGCGCTTTCCGAGAACGCACATGCTGCAAACAAGTAACATTTTAATATTTTATTCTCCCACGCCATTTAAACACGTATAAGGATAAGGATAAAAGTGTATTACAAAAAGCTATAAACACATATTTAGAATCATATGCCGGAAAAATACTTTTACTGCGAAAATATTATGCGGAACATTGCGAATGCCTTATCACCACTCTTTACCACCGTTTTTAAAGGCAATTTACTATATCAAATAAGATCCTATAGTTTTGCTTTATATAGCTGAAACTTTGCAATGTAGGTCAAGCCTTATGCTATTAAAGCTGCATCTTTTGTATATTTATTATTTAAAATTCGTGGCAAATAGACTGTTGTGTTACTAATAATAACTTATTGTAATGGACTAAAAAGCTTAAGGGCACTACGGTCATAAATAGATATGGAAAATGTTGCCTTCGAAATGTTTTCCGCAATTTGCACAAGCAACTCCTAAAAATAACATGCACTGCTTTGTTAGACCGGAAGGTAGAGAGGTGTATTTTGGACATGCACTACAATGGTTTTGTTAATACTAACTGTAAGTTATCATTGCCATTTATATTGACAAATATCCCAACGTAAACTGCCACAATGGAGAAGATGACGCATGCAAGTGCCACCGTGGCAAATTTGTTCACAAACTTGACACCAATATAAACGATTATTCCCATCACTATTAGTAATAATGTTCCATATACCCGAAAGTTGTTGAATTTTATCTCTTCGATCTCAATGTCTCCGAATAGCGACAAACTGGGTGCCATATACACCTACAAAAAGTTTACCTACTGTACTGGGTTAGTTTTACTAGCACTTATAAACTATTTATTTGCATTCCGTCAAAAAAGTAACCGAATTTTCCTCAATACATTTGAATATCGTATTCTATTTAGTAGATAAACAGTTTTCATCAGTTTCAATACTATTCGTTGGTGATTACCAGTACTTTCTGATTTCGATATATACTACTCTGAGTTTTTTGCGAGTTCAGTTTTTTGAAAAACTTAGGTCAGTTGATGAACCAGAATTTAGTTTACTGTATTTTCATTAGTTTATCCAGAAAACTGTCCATTATCGTTGAGGTTTGGCTAATTTTAGTCCCTCTATCAATTTTATCTTTCTGCTGCTTTCTCCTTCTGGGTTATTGGTAATTTCAGTTTAAAAAAGAAGAAAAAACGTAGCTTGATAAAAAATATGCGATGTTTTTGACCAAAAATAGGCCACAATAAGCGTTGAGTTCCAAGACTATCTTTCTTGAACTCGTATGACGATTTCTCGCGTTTTGTACAAAAACCTAAACAGGTTACTTTTTTGACAGAATGTACATTATGTTCCCCATACCACAACCATTAAATAGCCCTAAAAAATTAATAAAGCTCCATTTTAAAGGTGAGTTTCAACATCGTTAATTTAATAATAAAATCACACGTTTTTTCAATACACCTTGTGCAAGCTTGAAGAGCTTCCTTTGAATTTAAGTTATTATATTTTACTTGTTTTTTAATTAAATTGCTCAACACACACTTAACCTTAAACTATGGTATTGATTTTAGGTTTAGCTTTGAAACGTCAAATCAGATTTATTTCTTTATTAAGGTGAAAAGGTTCGAAAGATAAATGTATTTCTAAAATCGATAGGGAGGGTATATTTTTTAAAAGCGTGAATTTACTGCTTAAAATATTTCGTGTATTTTACAAATTGGCATATGGGGATTTTTGTTTTAAATTGATGGATGACTTTTTACCATCCCCTGCGACACAACTCTATTAGTGCGTTTGTTTAACGCGCTGACTCTTTGTTCCTTCCATTATTACAGAGAATTTATAATAATTATATTCTTCTTTGTTGGATGAATGTAATTCGTTTTATCTTTTTTTTTACTTGGGTTAGCATCATATATTCCCTTTAGGACCCCTTGTAACGAAATCTTAAGGATCAGGATTAGTGCGCTCCATCTGCGAAATTTACTACCTCTTATTTTACCTTCTTGCAGAGCAGAAAGTCAAACAAAAGAGTGTAATAAGTGCGAGACCTTAGATGGGGATTATTTATTGCGACACTGTTAATTGCAACTTTGTGTTGTATAAAATCATATGAAAATAGTTACGGGCAAGATCTCGCAGTACAGTATCCTTGACTTGTTTGTCTAATAGATTAACTTGGGCAGGTAATGTAGAAGTGCTTCATCACTATTGGGTGGTAAGTTATTAATGAGGCAGCACTTACCAGGACGATTTCGACGGCGCCCACGATGTACATGGCCCCAGCCAGAGTGGTACCTGTATAGAACAACATCCCGACAGCCCCACCAAACTCAGGTCCAATCGATCTTGATATCATGAAGTAGCTTCCTCCGCCCGGCACAACCCCATTGGTGGCTATAGCGGACATGGAGATGGCGGTAAGCATGGTAACGCAGCAGCAAATGAGGACGATGAGAAAGCCTTGGATTGCACCGGCGGTACCAACCACCCATGTCAAACGAATAAAAAGAATAACGCCGAAAATGTTTTGGATGCACGGCAGGTAGACGCCGATCAGTGTGCCCATACGCGCCCCTCCAGCTGCAGGCCTCGCGTCAGGGTCCGTCGAAGCTGGCGGGATCGTGTTGGAGTAGTTTGCGAGGGAGGAGATGAGGGTCGAGATACGCGGGCGGTCCTCCATCTCCTCCGAGTAAAGGTACAAGTTCGTCTCATAGCCTGATGTCTTCTCCGAGACGAACGGTTGGTCATCGGTGCCATCTCCTGAAACAAATAAAATGGTCAGCTGTTTTTGACTGATATACCAAACTGAAATCTATGCCATCCTGATCTGCGCCCAAGGGAATCTAAAAAGGGGTTAAACATATCTACATATGTAGCGACAGTCAAGCAGCACTCAGGGTCAACTCGAGGCTTACAGTGGACTGTATAAAAACCCTAGAATTACTCAGTGTGCTCAACAAGGCCACCCTTTTCTGGGTACCGGGTCATCGAGGTATCAAAGGCAACGAGGAAGCAGCTGGTTCGTGACTACTGGACTAACAACCAGTTCCAGAACAAATGGCGAGAACAACAAAGCCTCAGACAGTCAAGGGTCTTTATAAAGGGTTCTACAAACTAAAACTAAAACCTAAAACTTGACAGGAACCAGTTAAGGGCCATCACAGGAGTCCTAACAGGACACTGGATAGTTAAAGACCACCTACACAAAACCGGACTCAGCAACGAGACGGATTGTAGGTACCTAGCATATAGTCTGCGTATGCGATGGCCTAGACAATATCAGACAAGACAAGACACCTCGTGGACTGCCCTTTTCTTAAAAGTTGCGGGCTCCTAAGGTAAGGCAGAGCTTCATCAAAAGGGGGTTTGCACAATGGGCCGTATGTGTGCCTACGTGCTGCCTGCAAATGCTCCCCTTCAAATCAATTAATCAATAGATAAGATTCCTGATGAAACGCATTCCACTGTTAATGACACAGGTCGACGAAATGTCAGGTAATCATTTTTCTCTACAGAAGTAGGACTAAATGCGTTGTGAAACTAAGACTGGATATACATAACACCATACATATAATATGATGAATATAATTCATCACCCTGATATATAAAGCCTAAACATTGCAATTGAATCTTTATGAAGCTTCAGTGCCATTGTGTATAAACGATTTAAAATAGCTTCATTTACTACTAAATTTCTAACGGTAAACTGCGAATTAAATCCGACTCAATTTCACCATTCTGTAGCAGTGTAAAGTCTATTCCATATGCATTATGCATATTTTAATTAAATGGTGTAATCAAAGCCAAATAAAACTGTAACTTATAGTTTAATTAGCTCTATTTGCATTAATTTCGTTCCAATTTCCTTTTTTCATCAATCATTATTTATATGAACAATAGTCGCTTGAATTACTAAATCAATAATTTCTCCTCATTACCGTGTGGTATGGCGATAATTGTGTTAACCATTTCATTTATTTGGTTCAAGAATTTTTTGATTTTATAAAGCGAAGCTAAATTTATTGATATTTAGCCTATTATAATTATAATAAGCGTCATAAACAACGTAAAAATAAAGCCATTAAATATTCCAAACTTGATGAACAATTATTATCCCGTGGGACACCTATTTTGTTATCTAAACAATATGTATTGAATATTGAATCGTGCGTTCGATGTAATTACAATGATTGGTAGTCACCTATTTATTAAGTTTAACGTCAAATCAATTTTACAGTAAAATGGGTCGACGAAGTCAATTAATAAACTTATTATCATGGATTAAATTCGAACAGAGTCAAATTTTTATTTTTAGACCATAAAGAGAATTTTCTTTTCAAGTAAAGAGATTTAGGGACATAGCGCCAAGCTTTTTATATTCTGCCAAAAGTATCTGGCATATTTTTTCTTTCAATAGTTTGGTTTGCAATTTTGTGAAAAATGGCATCTTGTTTGGTCATGAAACGCAGAAAGCATTTTGACTGAATTAAATTTACTGATAAAATAAGTTCCAAAGGCGAACTTGGTCTTGAAATGCATTTTTCTTGTTATTGGAAATTTATTTCCATTTGTTCTTTTTTCAAAGAAACTTTGTTGTTTGATTAGGTATTTGATTTAAAATCAACAGGTTGTTTATTCAAATAAATTTGCAATTACGTAATTCAAAGGTGACAGTGTCCTTTTGTTACTGGAAATAGTTTTCCAACATTTATCTTCTCAATATTAGCGGACGCACCCTTTTCACCCGCTAATAAACTCTCCTCTAACTAAAAGTTTCACAATTAAATTTTGAAAGATCATTAACAGTTGCTAAAAGAACGTGCCAAAATACATATATACGTTCTTCACCTTATTAATATTTAAGTGCCAGTGAAATGGCTTGAAAAATGTTAAGGATTTATAAGGCTTTAAGAAAGCTCTTTATACATTTTTCATAAGCTTAAACGAGCTTAAGATCCTCTTATAAATTGGCTTTGGCAAAACATGAAAATGCTGCTGCTCTATATTGTAATTATCTTCCCAAGACATTTTCGTAATCTACAAAAATTAATTAAATTGTTAAATTATTGGTTTAACTTTCGCATAAAATTTATTTCATATAAAATTTCCTTGTTTATATACATGTATATTTAAAGATACTAGAACATGAGGGGAAGGTACAGTACCGATAAAATTGTTGAAATGAATAAAAAAAGATAAAAATTATTGTGCTAAAATACCCAAAAAAAAGTGTGACGTACTTTATGTACGGCCCCAAATATTAATTCCTAAGATAAAACGAGAGAGGTATTGTGCTGTGGCATTGTATTTGAACAAAACATGTTTTAAACGTTTAAATTGATTAATCAATTTTGATGCTTTGAAATATGGATTAATATTATTGGTTAACAAAAGTGCTACGTTAATAAACGTCGCTTAGTGTGTAACATAAGGGCTCACTTATGTAGTGTAACTGCTAAAAAGAATAGTTAATGATTCTCTGTAAAAAGCCTCACGTGAAAGAGAAAATCTGGTGGACATATTTACATCGTATACTGAATTTTCTAGGAAAATTAAATTAGTTGCCCTAATTCAAATTGACACGGTTAATTTTGCCAATAACAAACTTTTTGTGAAGTTTATTGAATAAAATAATTAAATTATTAGTAACCTAATTTAAAGGGGTGTTGGTATTAAAAAGTAGGACAAATATAAGTTATTTACGCTAAATAATAAATATATCATTCTGGTCTCCAAAAACGCGATAACGCCATTGTGGTGTGACAGGTTACATCCCGTTGAAATCAAAGTATGGACCACCCTTGAGTAAAAATCCATATACTAGAGCCTTGGTGCTGTATTTGGTAGTTTTAACAAAAGGCACAAAGAAAGAGCGGAAAATTTCTCAAAGTAGACCGAAAATAGTTAATGGAGTAACACACTTTTCCTCTGGCAACAGAGTTGTTCCATTAAACTTGTTATTATGCCGGGGCTGGAATTCGGGTAGCCGCATAAAATGTTGTCTCCTATAATACGGGCAAAGTTATAAAGGACCCGACATTACTCCAGTAATTGCTACACCAACGATACATGATTAAGTATTTAGCTCTTTCAATCGGTTTGCCGTTGAGGGATTAATTTTCTTAATTGACCGGTTCCACCCTGAACAATTCGCCAAAATGTTTAGCTTGTCGCATTTGCAAGGACCAACATTTTAAGTAAATTAACCAAAATCTAAGTATATAAATTTACCAACCGGTTACTATAACCTTAAGGTAAATTCAAAGATTATTTTTAGTATAATTTAACTAATAAAAGAAACTGATTGGTAATATTACTAACTAGTTAAATATTTGGTTTATTTATAGTCAATTAAAACTCTTGAAATAACCTTAATTTACCTAACTTATAAGTTCAAAAGTAGGTTATTTTGGAAGTTACATAACGTTATATTAACTTCTAATTTTAACCTTTGAAAATGGTTAAGACTTGTTATTTTTTGGTTTAGTTTAACTTTTGATATAACTTTTTGGTAAATTAACACCAGCTTTGAATAACTTGGATATATTTTTTTAACCAACAAGTTATATTTTACCAAATATATTTTAAGAGATTTTACCAGATTTGGTAAATTATAATTATATGAATGATTCTCATTTTGCTTATATAGTTTTCGGAGAAAATTAAACAGTATTTTGTTATGAGAACATAGATAATATAATAAATATACCGTTTCAGACCGGGCCAGTCACTTTTTCAAACAGTTTCTGAAATATCTGTGTTTTCTAAATTTGAATGCAAGGGAAGTGACGAGTATACCAGGGTACTAATTAAATACATAATTTATTGGAAAATATAAGATTTATTGCATTTGAGCATATTATACATTAAATATCTTAAAATCAAATAATACCACACATCAGTGGCAGCTGGTGGATTTTGGGTATACCGATATCTCAATTATTAGATATGGGACCCACACCAAATATATATGAGTTTATAATAACATTAAATAAACAAGTTCTGCGCAAGCAGAATTTAAATTGAAGTTTGCGAAAAAAAGATAACCGAAACATCGAACATGGAACTGACGACACGGTACTGATGAATGGGATACAAATTTGAGATTATTATTAAGTATGTTACTGCTATTTTTTATTAGTGGATGCTATTTATCAACAAATCACATATAGCCTTATATAAATTAAAATGAAATATATATATACGTAAGAAAATAACAGTACTGACATTTTGACTGGAACTATACGTGCATTCACCACAACTTCGCCGCTTGCATTGTTTTCAATATGACTGTCGTGCAAAGGGCGGGCTCTGTAGGTAATTTTTTACCAACACTTGAGTTAAAACGAGGACTTGACGTTTAAACTTCAATATTTCGCAGGAATTTTGAATTTTAACATTTGACACAGAACTGACGGGTAAAAAGGAGTACAAAGATTATTAATTTTTTAAAAATTGCTATAATCGAATCTATGATAAAATATGAAAAATACAATATTGTTTTATAGATTGTAGTGAAATTGAAAAATTTAAGATAAATTGAATATATTTTAAAATAAAATCACTCAAATATTTGATTCAGGAGTTGTGACACGCCAAGGTACTGATGTGCTTTTAAAAAAATGCATTAAATTGGGTGGACAAGTTAAAAAAACCTGGATCTTTTGTAATATACTAAAATATTTACTAAAAATATTAAAATACCTACTCTGTTGACTGATGACATCAAGTTGTCCAACTTTTGAAGAATCACCCATATA